AGCACCATGTTTGCGTAACAGCTGGGCAGCTGAGGCTGCTGCTGGCTGCGGTGGGAGGCGTGGGAGGGAACGGTTAATCAGTTGCCTGTCCAGTTGGTTGGCATCATGGTGGGAGTGGGAGGATGGGGAGTGTGCAAAGAAAGGGGAGGACTGGGATAGCAGGGGGCTGCGGTGGGATTGAGGGACACGAGAAGAGCGGTGGGGGAGGGAAGAGCCCGGGGGCTGGGACAGCAGGGTGCTGCAGGTCAGGATTGAGGGGCATGGGCAGAGCAGGGAGCAGGTAGGGGTCATGGGGAAATGAAATAGGCACTGGGAGTCTTTGGCAGCATTCGAGGAAGAGAACTGGTGATTCCTCCAGGGCTGATGCTGGGGGTGGCCATCATCTGGTCGGGGCCAGCAGTTTTCAGAGTGAACGTGAGCTTTTCCGAGGCCGGAGCCCTCGGCTGTGGCAGGGATGGGCGTAAAATCCTTCCAGCCACTGGGTTCAGGCTTTGCTTTCCTTCCCCTTTGTGAGAATCGGATGCTGGAATGGCAGCCCGTGGGGCCACCCTGTCTTGGAGCATTTCTGTGACCCACACCACCCTGGGCTTCGACTCGGCAAAGCAGCCAGGTGGCTGGGTTGAATCCCCATCCAGACCGGGAAGCCAGCCACAATCGGCAGCATCCCACAGGCGTTCAGGGTCTCCCAGGACAGGCTGGGCCATGCAGACTGAAATCCCCTGGGAAAGAGGGTGTCCTCAAGGACAAGGGGGAGCAGTGTGTGTGGGGAGGAGGGTCAGTTTCTTCCGTTTCAAAGTGACTTTTCTTTTTGAAATTTCAGCTCATTAGACCAAAACCAGCTATCGCGCACATACACCCCCCATTCCATTTCCTCTCCATTCTCAGTAACTGGCGCTGTTCAGGCCCCCTCCCCGCACCCAGTGCCCTTCAGGACCAACCTCTGAACCCTGTGGCCTCAGAACGGAGCTGCCCATTCACACTGGGCATCGAGGAACATTGAGCAAAGGGGGCCAGCTGTGGGGGATTGGGGGATCAGATGGGAGGTGGGTGGGGGAGGGGGTCAGAATTCAGCTGGGGTGGATTGGGATCAGCTGGGGGAGGGCAGGCAGGGTGGGAGGTTGAGGACTGGCTGGGAGGTGCAGACTGGGGAGGGGGACGGAGATCAGCTGGGGGTGCAGATGGGAGAGGGGGGCTGGGGATCAGTTGTGGGGCACATGGGAGAGTGGGGAATGGGGATCGGCTCGGGGGGTAGGGGCAGGGAAAGGAGAACGGTCTCAGGCTGTGTGAGTAGGCCGCTTGAGGTGGGATGATGTCATGACATGCCCCAAAGCTACACAACCATCAGCCTCCTCCCTCCGCTCAGAGCGGCATGGCGGGGGGCACAGTGGGATGATGGAGGCAGTCATCCCTTGTGCACCCCGGGGGGTGGGGGTATGTGGGCGAGGGGCGTGGGCAAGACCGGGCAAATGGCCTCGGGGCAAGGTGTGTGTAGGACAGGCTGAAGGTGTGTGGCACGGGCAGCGAGTGCACCTGAGGCAGGGACCCTGGGGTTCCATGCAGTGTGCGAGCGATGGGGAAGTGCAGTGCGGTGCAGAGGGCTGCACAGTGCCCTTGCAACAGGAGCCCAGGAGACAGCCTGAACTTCGGTGGGGTCTGCGGGGCCCCTGCAATTGGTACGTGCTAGCCGGGAATGTCAGCAGAGCGTGCAGGGCCCATGCAGGCTGTGGACTGGTAGGGTCTGCCGCGCCCATGCAGTTGGTACACATCCGATATGAATGTCAGCAGAGCGTGCAGTGTGCGTGCAAGGGGCGCCTGGGAGACGAGAAGCATTTGTAATTGTTTGTGCGGCAGGTGCATGCAGCGTGCATGTGACGGGTGCACTGGAGAGGTGCAGTGTGCCCGCAATGCGGGTGGCGGGTGGATGTGTGCAGTGCCCATGCTATGGGGGTGTGCAGTGTGTGTGCAGTGTGGGAGGCCGTTGCAGTGGTTGTGCAATGGATGGACAGCTGCAAAACGGAAAGATCCTTTTCCAGGGTGTGCCGTGGCCGTGCGATGGGTGCACATGAGACAGGCTGTACTTTAACGGGGCATGCAGGACACGTGCAGTGGATGGGCTCCTGTGAAGCAGAAGGATCTTTTAGCAGGGCACGCAGTGCGCGAGACAGGCTGTACATTGGGAGGGCATGCAGTGTCCGTGCGGCAGGGTGTACAGTGATTGTGCTATGAGGCATGCAGTACCTGTCCAATAGGTGCACAAGGGAGACACGTTGTACTTGGCAAGGTCTGCCTTGCCCATGTGACGGGGCTGTGCAGTGACCATGTGATGGGCGTGTGCAGTGCCCAGGCGATGCATGGCGTGCAGTGCCCATGCAATAGGTGCACATGAGACAGGCTGCACATTGGTAGGGCCTGCAGTGCCTGTGCAATGGTTGGCCTGCAGCGCCCACGCAATGGATGCTTATGAGACAGACTGTACATTGGTCGGGGATACAGTGCCCCTGCTATGAGACATGCAGTGCCTCGTGAGACAGGCTGTGCAACTTGAGCCAGGCTGTGAGACAGAAGGTATGCAGTGCCCGTGTGACGGATGGTGTGCAGTGCCCGTGCCATGGGTGCTCGTGAGCCAGGCGGTGCAACGGATGGCATGCAGTGCCCGTGTGACGGATGGTGTGCAGCGCCTGTGCGATGGGTGCTCGTGAGACAGGCGGTGCGACGGATGGCATGCAGTGCCCATGTGACAGATGGGGTGCAGTGCCCGTGTGACGGATGGTGTGCAGCGCCTGTGCGATGGGTGCTCATGAGACAGGCGGTGCGACGGATGGCGTGCAGTGCCCGTGTGACGGATGGTGTGCAGCGCCTGTGCGATGGGTGCTCGTGAGACAGGCGGTGTGACGGATGGCGTGTAGTGCCCGTGTGACGGATGGCGTGCAGTGCCCGTGCCATGGGTGCTCATGAGACAGGCTGTGTGACGGATGGAATGCAGTGCCCGTGCGACGGATGGTGTGCAGCGCCCGTGCCATGGTGCTCGTGAGACAGGCGGTGCGACGGATGGTGTGCAGCGCCTGTGCGATGGGTGCTCGTGAGACAGGCGGTGTGACGGATAGCGTGCAGTGCCCATGCGACGGATGGTATGCAGCACCCGTGCGATGGGCGCTCGTGAGACAGGCTGTGCGACGGATGGCATGCAGTGCCCGTGTGACGGATGGTGTGCAGCGCCTGTGCCATGGGTGCTCGTGAGCCAGGTGGTGTGACGGATGGTGTGCAGCGCCCGTGCGATGGGCGCTTGTGAGACAGGCTGTGCGACGGATGGCATGCAGTGCCCGTGTGACGGATGGTGTGCAGCGCTCGTGCGATGGGCTCTCGTGAGACAGGCAGTGTGACAGATGGCATGCAGTGCCCGTGTGACGGATGGTGTGCAGCGCCCGTGCGATGGGCTCTCGTGAGACAGGCAGTGCGATGGATGGCGTGCAGTGCCCGTGCGACGGATGGTGTGCAGCGCCCGTGCCATGGGTGCTCGTGAGACAGGCAGTGCGATGGATGGCATGCAGTGCCCGTGCGACGGATGGTGTGCAGCGCCCGTGCCATGGGTGCTCGTGAGACAGGCGGTGCGACGGATGGCATGCAGTGCCCGTGTGACGGATGGTGTGCAGCGCCTGTGCCATGGGTGCTCGTGAGCCAGGCGGTGTGACGGATGGCATGCAGTGCCCGTGTGACGGATGGTGTGCAGCGCCCGTGCGATGGGCTCTCGTGAGACAGGCGGTGCGATGGATGGCATGCAGTGCCCGTGTGATGGGTGCTCGTGAGACAGGGGGTGTGACGGATGGCGTGCAGTGCCCGTGTCACGGATGGCGTGCAGGGCCCGTGCGATGGGTGCTCATGAGACAGGCGGTGCGAAGGATGGCGTGCAGGGCCCGTGCGACAGATGGCGTGCGGGATGGATGCATGCAGTGCCCGTGCCATGGGTGCTCGTGAGACAGGCGGTGCGATGGATGGCATACAGTGCCCATGTGATGGGTGCTCGTGAGACAGGGGATGTGACGGATGGCGTGCAGTGCCCGTGTCACGGATGGCGTGCAGGGCCCGTGCGATGGGTGCTCATGAGACAGGCGGTGCGACGGATGGCGTGCAGGGCCCGTGCGACAGATGGCGTGCAGGGCCCGTGCCACGGGTGCTCGTGAGACAGGCGGTGCGATGGATGGCATGCAGTGCCTGTGCGATGGGTGCTCGTGAGACAGGCGGTGCGATGGATGGCATGCAGTGCCCGTGTGATGGGTGCTCGTGAGACAGGGGGTGTGACGGATGGCGTGCAGTGCCCGTGTCACGGATGGCGTGCAGGGCCTGTGCGATGGGTGCTCATGAGACAGGCGGTGCGACGGATGGCGTGCAGGGCCCGTGCGACGGATGGCGTGCAGGGCCCGTGCCACGGATGCTCGTGATAGGCGGTGCGATGGATGGCATGCAGTGCCTCGACGGGTGCTCGTGAGACAGGCGGTGCGATGGATGGCATGCAGTGCCCGTGCGATGGGTGCTCGTGAGACAGGCGGTGCGATGGATGGCATGCAGTGCCCGTGCGATGGGTGCTCGTGAGACAGGCGGTGCGACGGATGGCGTGCAGGGCCCGTGCGATGGGTGCTCATGAGACAGGCGGTGCGACGGATGGCGTGCAGGGCCCGTGCGACGGGTGCTCGTGAGACAGGCGGTGCGACGGATGGCGTGCAGGGCCCGTGCCACGGGTGCTCGTGAGACAGGCGGTGCGACGGATGGCGTGCAGGGCCCGTGCCACGGGTGCTCGTGAGACAGGCGGTGCGACGGATGGCGTGCAGGGCCCGTGCGACGGGTGCTCGTGAGACAGGCGGTGCGACGGATGGCGTGCAGGGCCCGTGCCACGGGTGCTCGTGAGACAGGCGGTGCGACGGATGGCGTGGACACACAGACTGCGTGTGGGGAGCCGGGCAGTGGGCGGCCGAGCCTCTAACTGAGCCTCCTTGTGCCCCCCGCAGTTACATGCTTCGGGTGCGAGCTGTGGTGATGACCCGAGACGACTCGAGCGGGGGATGGGTGCCCATGGGCGGGGGCGGCCTGAGCCACGTCATGATCGGCAAGGTGCGGCGCCCGGAGGAGGGCGGGCAGCGGCACCAGTTCCTGATCTGCGGGGAGCGCCTGCGCGACCAGACCGTAAGCCTGACTCCTGGGGAGGGGTTGGGTGGGAGGGGCAGCTTGTGGGGCCCTAATCTCCCCCTCTCCATTGCAGACCATCCTGGAGTGCGTGCTGAAGAAGGACCTCGTCTACAACAAGGTGAACCCCATCTTCCACCACTGGAAAGTTGGCGACAGCAAGTTCGGCCTGACCTTCCAGAGCCCCGCCGATGCCGCAGCCTTCGAGCGGAGCGTGCAGGCCGCCCTGGAGGAGCTCGCCGAAGGTGGGGCACCATCGTCCGGGGCCCGCAGAGATTCAGCGGGCGAGGGTTTGGCTGGCTGCCCCTGGCGGGGTGCGGGGCCCAGGCAATGTGAGAGATGCAGGGGGCGTGAGGCTGGCTGGCAGCCCCATGGGTGTGCTGGCTGGGGTCCTGAGCCTGGCTGGCTCCCCCCGGGGGGTTCTGGTCTGGCTTGGGGAGGGACTGGTGGGAGATGTGGGCACCGGTTGGTGGCATGGGTCCTGCCTGTTCCTCACCCGCCCCTTAGGGGCTGTTGGTCAGAACCAAGCGAACCCTGATGCTGGAAGCGACCTGAGTTCACCTTAGCACGGCCCTGTGGCCAAGACAGCCGGCTGCAGGGAAGCAGACGTGGGGTCAGTTCCCGGGTCAGCCACCGACCCTACCTGTCTGACCTCAGACATGTCTCGGCCTCGGTTTCCCGCACCTGTGCCATGGAGATATGAACCCTTTGCGGCCGGCCGGGGGGGGTGGGGAGGCTGTTGATGTTCAGGAGGCCCCGATGCCCCAGTGCCGTCGCTGCACCTCGGTGGATGGCATTCCATGTCGGAGTTGCCAGGGGAGGGAGGGAGCCCCGGATTCCCAGCTGGAGGTCCCAGCACCTCAGGGGAACACTGTCTTCCCAACCCTCCCTGCCCAGGCCCTGCTGCCCACCCCGCTGTCCCCCCGCTGTTGGGTCAACTCCCTAGAGAGCTCCCAGGGATCTAAAGGCCTGGGCACTGCACCAGAGCCTGGCTCCTTATTTCCCCTCCCCAGCCCTCTCCACTTCCCCCCTCCCGCCATGGTCTGGGGGTTATTCTTAACTCCTCCCTCTCTTTTGCCCCCATAATCGATTCCTGCCTGTCTCCTGCCCTGTCATAAATACAAAGGGAAGGGTAACCACCTTTCTGTGTACAGTGCTATAAAATCCCTCCTGGCCAGAGGCAACATCCTGTTACCTGTAAAGGGTTAAGAAGCTCAGCTAACCTGGCTGGCACCTGACCCAAAGGACCAATAAGGGGACAAGATACTTTCAAATCTTGGGGTGGGAGGGGGCGGCTTTTGTTTGTGCTCTTTGTTTACGTGGTTGTTCTCTCTTGGGACTGAGAGAGGCCAGACAGAAATCCATCTTCTCCAACCCATCCCAATCCAAGTCTCCAATATTGCAGCCAGTCTAGGTAAGCCAGGCAAGGTGGATTAGCTTATCTCTTGTTTTATGTGAATTTTCCCTGTGTTAAGAGGGAGGTTTATTCCTGTTTTCTGTAACTTTAAGGTTTCCCCCAGAGGGGGATCCTCTGTGTTTTGAATCTGAATACCCTGGAAATTATTTTCCATCCTGATTTTACGGAGATGATTGTTGCCTTTCTTTTCCTTTTTTTATAAAATCCTTCTTTGAAGAACCTGACTGATTTTTCATTGTTCCAAGACCCAGGGGGTTGGGTCTTTGATGATTTTGTAACCAATTGGTGAGGATATTATTCTCAGGCCTCCCCAGGAAAGGGGGTGTGTAGGGCTTGGGGGGATATTTTGGGGAAAGACGTGTCCAAGTGGTCTCTTTCCCTGGTCTTTGTTTAAAATGCTTGGTGGTGGCAGCATACTGTTCAAGGCCAAGGCAAAGTTTGTACCTTGGGGAACTTTTTAACCTAAGCTGGTAAGAATCAGCTTAGGGGGTCTTTCATGCAGGTCCCCACATCTGTACCCTAGAGTTCAGAGTGGGGAAGGAACCCTGACACACCCTGACACGCCCAGTCTCTGCTCCCCATCCCCTCTCCTGGCTGGGGGGGCTGCTTCGTTCTGCTCTCTGGCACGCTGCCCCCCTCCAATCCGTGCTGTCGGGCCTGGTCGTGTCCTTTTCCCCTGACCGTCCCGGCGTCCCGTCCCCCGTTTCCCGTCCGCCAGCACATCAGATTTTAAATCTCCGGGCTCTGCAGCACTCCACCTGTCTCTGCCAGTCCTTCCTTCATGTTGCCCCTCCGCAGTGCCAGCATTCTCACCATTCACACTCAGCCCCCTCCCCGCCAGCCCCCTACACACAGTCCAGCCTCCCCCCGCTCTTCTGAAAGCACGCCTGCCCCCAAATCCCGTCTGGTTTCGGCAGCCTGGAACACACTGAGCGCTGCTACAGGGTCACCGGCTTTAAAGGGACACTACCCTGCACTGGCCCGCTGCTGCTGTGCCCCCGCAAGCGAACTGATCCCTGTAGAAGACCCCCTTTGCATTTCCCCCCTCCTCCTGCCTGCCTGCCCCTGGGATGGGAACCTTCCCTTCTGCTCTGTCTGGAACGTGCCCAGCATGCCACCCCCCCGGGGATTGAACCCAGGAGCTCTGGCGCTAAAAGCACAAGGGGCAGCTGCCTGAGCGAACCAACCCCAAATTACTTTAGAGCTAAAAGAACAGGAGGACTTGTGGCACCTTAGAGACCAACCAATTTATTTGAGCATGAGCTTTCGTGAGCCTCAGCTCACTTCATCGGATACATACTGTGGAAACTGCAGAAGACATTATATACACAGAGACCATGAAACAATACCCCCTCCCACCCCACTGTCCTGCTGGTAATAGCTTATCTAAAGTGATCATCAAGTTGGGCCATTTCCAGCACAAATCCAGGTTTTCTCACCCTCCCCCCCCCCCCCCCCCCCCACAAACTCACTCTCCTGCTGGTAATAGCCCATCCAAAGTGACCACTCTCTTTAAAATGTGTATGATAATCAAGGTGGGCCATTTCTGGCACAAATCCAGGTTTTCTCACCCCCCCACCCCCCTCTCTCCCACCCCACTCTCACAAATCTTGGGAGACAGGCCAGTCCTTGCCTACAGACAGCCCCCCAACCTGAAGCAAATACTCACCAACAACCACATACCACACAACAGAACCACTAACCCAGGAACCTATCCTTGCAACAAAGCCCGTTGCCAACTGTGCCCACATATCTATTCAGGGGACACCATCACAGGGCCTAATAACATCAGCCACGCTATCAGAGGCTCGTTCACCTGCACATCCACCAATGTGATATATGCCATCATGTGCCAGCAATGCCCCTCTGCCATGTACATTGGTCAAACTGGACAGTCTCTACTTAAAAGAATAAATGGACACAAATCAGATGTCAAGAATTATAACATTCATAAACCAGTCGGAGAACACTTCAATCTCTCTGGTCACGAAATCACAGACATGAAGGTCGCTATCTTACAACAAAAAAACTTCAAATCCAGACTCCAGCGAGAAACTGCTGAATTGGAATTCATTTGCAAATTGGATACTATTAATTTAGGCTTAAATAGAGACTGGGAGTGGCTAAGTCATTATGCAAGGTAGCCTATTTCCCCTTGTTTTTTTCTAACCCCCCCCCCCCCCCCGACGTTCTGGTTAAACTTGGATTTATGCTGGAAATGGCCCACCTTGATTATCATGCACATTGTAAGGAGAGTGGTCAGTTTAGATGAGCTATTGCCAGCAGGAGAGTGAGTTTGTGTGTGTATGGGGTGGGGGGAGGGGTGAGAAAACCTGCCCCCAGTAACCGGACACCTTATTGGGCCCGCGTCCTTCCTGGGGGGACTGACTTTCATGTACCTTCCTCCGTTTTCCCTTCCCAGGTTCTCTCTCCTCCTCCTCCTCCTCCTCCTCGTCTCAGGATGATGCTGATGGGACAGATGACGCAGGGTTGGTAAGTTGAGCACTGGACAGAAGTACCTTCTGGGGGAAAACATCCCAGATCCTTGGTCTGGCGGAGAGAGGCAGAACCAACGGCTGGAAGTAAAAGCCAGGCCTGTTCCAGTTAGAAAGCACCCATCAGAGTGCGGGTGATTACTCACTCGAACAAACTCCCAAAGGAAGCGGGAGATTCTCCATCTCTTGAGGTCTTCAGATCCAGGCTGGTCACCTTTCTGGGGGAGTCGCTTTCACCAAACACTAATTATGGGGCTCAATCCAGGGGTAACTGGGAGCAGTGCAGGTCAGACTAGATGGTCTAATGATTCCTTATTATAATCAGCTGAACATGAGCTGCTGGTGCGATACTGCACCCAAAAAAGCGAACGCCATACTGGGATGCATCAACGGGAATCTCCGATAGGAGCCGAGAGGTTCTTTTCCCTCTGTATCTGGCGCTGGTGCGACCGCTTCTGGGATCCTGCATCCAGTTTTGATGCCCACAACACAAGGAGGATGTTGATAAATGGGAGGGGATCAGAGAAGAGCCAGGAGTGAGATCAAAGGGTTAGAAAACCAGCCTAGTAGTGAGAGACTCCAGGAGCGCAATCTGCTTAATTTATCAAAGAGAAGGTGGGGGTGACTTGATTTCAGTCCATCAGTACCTCCATGGGGAACAAATATTTAATAATCAGCTCTTCAGTCTAGCAGAGGAAGGTCGAACACAACCCAGTGGTTGGAAGCTGAAGTTAGACAAATTCAGACTGGAAATAAGGTGTAAATTTATAAGGGTGAAAGCAATCAATCACTGAACAATTCTCAAGGGTCATGGTGGATACTCCATCACTGACCAATTTTAAATCAAGATGGGATGTTTTTCTAAAAGATCTGCTCCGGGAATTATTTTGGGGCAGTTCTCTGGGTTGTGTTATCCAGGAGGTCAAACTAGATGATCTGGCCTTGAAATCTATGCATTATTTCTAGCAGCTTAAAGCCCTCGCCGTCAAAATGACTGAGAACTTCAAAATTAGATGGTAACAGACCCCATGTCCTACGGATGATTGGACCAGGTGATCTTCTGAACAAAAACAGCTCTCAGCCAGGCTTGAGGCTGTTTCCATCACTTCACACTGACTCAACAGACACTTTAGTCTTGCATGAGGATCCTGTAATAAACACGATTAATAATCTATAGAATAAGATTCCAGTAATCCGTAGAATAAGATTCCAATAGGGTCTTAGGGCCAGCCAGAAAAACAGCCCATTCGCCAGGTGATGTACAAGCACAGATTAGCACAGAGCCCACAATCTAAATAAGTGAGACAGGCCTTAAAATCTGTGAAAGGCCTTCATGATGCCATTCCGCTCTGGGAAACTTCCCATCTGATTCCATGTTTACTCCCTAGCCAGGGTGGGATGTGAGTACCAGCTGGGGTGGATTTCCATGGTCTCCATTCCCACAAGGAGGTGGGGGTCCCAGAGAGGGGAGGGGAAATAGGGACCCAAGCTGGGGGACAACTGGCCCAAGAGGGAGATGTTGGCTGATAAAGGTCTGGACTAGTGCTAGGAAAAACAGACCCCTTCCCAGCTTGACCAGCGGTCTCCTTATACTGGGATCATGGCAGACCACGCATGCCAAGCAGCATGTGTCATGGTCAGTGTTTAGAAGGGAGACCTCTGAGGAACAACTGGCTGCTGCAGGCAGCAGGGTGAGGGCGCTCTCCCCTCCCGGTCAGTGCTTGACCCCAAGGGCTCCGATGCGGTGCTAAGGGGCACTGGGCTGCAGGGACCAGGGTGGGGGCTCAGTAGGGGGCGCTCTCCCTGCACAGTCAGTGCTGACCCCTGTGCAGCAGTAGGGGGCGCTTCTTTCTTAGTGACAGCCACCGCCTTTGTTCCCAGATGCACACGGACAGCGAATCTTCCTCGAACAGCCGGAAGGAAATGCTCCCCAAACACATCACCATTGTGACCAGCGAGTCCTCCTCCAGCTGCTACATCCGCTCACCTGCCTCCGAGGAGTTTGCCTTCAGCACGGCCCAGGGGTCGACGCCGACCAGCCAGGGCGGGCAGGTGGGTCTGGGCAGGGAGGGGCAGGGGTCCGTGGCCCTGGGCGCGATGGGGGAGGGCACTGCATAGCCCGAGGAAAGAGATGGGAGAGAGAATCTTTTCCATGGGCTGGTGGCGCCTTCTCAAGTTAAAGCTGTCCCGCATGGGAGCGGGGTGGGGCGGCACTGGGTTTGTACCTTTGGAAATCCCAGGCATGTCCACTCCACCCACTACTCTTGCTGGTGACTTTTTGGAGAACTTGAGAACATGTGTTGTGAGTTTTCCCAGCCCTGCATGGAAACTGGGGGGCGGGGGGCAGAGAGTGGGGGTAGTGATCTTTAACAGAGAGCACTTTTTTCCCACCTGTTTGTAGAGTGTCTGAGTTAAGCAGGGGTTAATAAAATCTCTTGTTTTCTTTGGTATCTGGGGGTCTTTGTTGTGCACAGGGAGGATGGGCTTGGGGTTAGCGCTCTGAGCTGGGGCTCTGTCACAGAATCACCTATGTGAGACGGGCTGTGTCATCTCTCCATGCCTCAGTTTCCACATGGGTGACATGGGAGTAATAATCCTTTCTCTCTCCAACCCTTTGTCTATTAAGATTGGGAGTTCTTCAGGGTAGAGAGTGTCTCTCACCCTGTGTGTCTGCGGTGCCCGGCACAACAGGGCCCCGATCTCGGTCGGGGTCTGGGCAGCACCCAGCACAATGGGGCCCCGATCTCGGTCGGGGTCTGGGCAGCGCCCAGCACAACAGGGGCCCTGATCTCGATCTGCTCCTCTGGGCTTTGATATTTGGTCTGCATCCTCTACGTGGTGCAGGGATCTGTTCCGTATGGACAGGGGCCCCCAAGTTCCAGGGCACAGGGAGGGGATGTGATGGGCAGCTGGGCTGTTGGCAACGCCCTTGCCTTGATGGACTGGGGCTGCAGCTGAGGGCTCCTGCCAGCAGGCCTGAGGACATGGTTCCTTTTCCTCTGCCAGCTCTCAGATTATGGGAGTGGGATCTTAGAGTTAGAGCATCTGGCCTCCTGGGTTCTGTTCCCAGCACTAGGAGGGCAGTGGGGTCTGGTGGCTAGAGCACATCGGGGAGCCAGGACTCCTGAGTTCTGTCTCCAAGAGCCCTGTACTGCTGGCTCCAGAATTGGTCCTTCTGTTCCTGGCCTCAGTGACGTCCTGCTGTGGCGAGTCCCACAGGTTAACGAGGCTGAAGTGGGAGAACAGTGCAGGATATACCTCTGTCTCCCCCTGCCACAGGTGCAGACCCAGCCCCTGCAGCACCTGACCCTGCACGACGAGGAGGAGCTAGAGAGCATCAACCCATGCAAGGACCTGTGGGTGAGCAAGGGCTATGAGGACTACAGGCGGGCGGCAGTGCAGAAGCGGGAAGCCGACCCCGACAAGGTCGGCATGTGCGTGCACTTCGAGAAGGGCAGCAAGGAGCGCCGCTTCCCTGCAGCAGGGGGGGGCGGCGAGGGCCGCCTCAGAGACCCCAAGGGCTCCCCATCCTGCCGGATCCATGCCGCCCCTTCGCCCCCCAAGCAGAAGCACGCCAAGGAGCCAGGGGCCGGCGGCGGGGCGGGCTCGGAGGAAGACACCGTGCCCTCCCGCTGCGTCTATTGCCGGGACGTCTTCAACCACGAGGAGAACGGGCGGGGCCAGTGCCAGGACGCGCCGGACCCCATCGGACGCTGCGTCTACCAGCTCACCTGCATGTGGTGTGCCGAGAGCATGCTGTACCACTGTATGTCAGACTCGGAGGGCGAGTACTCGGACCCTTGCTCCTGCGACCTGGGGCACCCGCACTTCTGCATCCGCTGGATGGCGCTGGTGGCCCTCTCCCTCGTCGTGCCCTGCATGTGCTGTTACCTGCCACTCCGCGCCTGTCACTGGTGTGGGGAGCACTGCGGCTGCTGCGGTGGGAAACACAAGGCTGTGCGGTGAAGCCGGCTGGGGCGCGGCGCTCTTCTTGGCTTGGCTGGGGGGGAGAGAGGCGAAGAGACGGAGGCGGTCTTAAACGGCGGCGGGGGGCTGATTCCCCCTTCTCTTGCACGCCCTACCCCCCGTGTCCCGTGTTTGGAGGGGGAGGGACTAGGCGGTTTTATTCCGAGTGTCAGGCGTGGCTGGTGAGTTTCATTTTTTTTTCCTTTAAAATTTCAACATTTTGGGTCCGTTTTTATAAAAAGAAAAAATTTAAAAAAAAAAGAAAAAGTAATGGAAGAAAGAGAAAACAAACAAACGACGGTCTCAGGAGAGATGGGTAGATGGTCATGCGGGGGGCAGTTTTACCCCCTCCCTTCCTCCTAGCTATGGGGGGGGAGGGAACAAATAAAATTTAACCCCTCCTTCACCCAATCCAGCTGTGTCCGCACACCTGTTTGTGTGTGTGCAGTGGTGGGGTGACCAGTAGACTATGTTACCCCCTCCTTCCTTTACCCAGTCTGACTGGGTCCACAGGGATTTCTTTTCAATTTTAAAAAAGGGTTACAAAGAACAACAGAAGGAAAGAAAATATCCTAAATGGATATTCACTGGATTTTTATTTTGTACTCAGGAGGGAGTCCAGGGAGCAAGAGAAACTAATTTGTGCTGAAAAATGCCCCTATATAAAAAACAAAAACAAAACAAAAAAACCTTCCCTGCAGCTTTATAACCGCACAATGCTGGGGCATCCTTTTCACAAGGACGACAGGCAGACAGGGTTCGATTTACAGGGTACACAAGCTGCAGCACCCCTCCAAGTTCTGTCCCCCACCCTCCCCGCCCCAATACAGTTCCCATGGTTTATTTCTGGGTCCCAGGCTGGAACAATGGGGCTCCCCTTGAAGTGTTCGCTGGGCTACAATTTCCAGGGAAGTTAGGGAAGGGTTGTCTGCAGCTCCCCTTGTGACACCCCTTCCCCATTGATGTCTGGCATCTACCTCTGTTTTACCCCAGTCACCACAGAGCAGAGAGCTTGTACAATTCAGTCTCGTTCCCCATGCTGTTCCCCTCTCTCCCAGCAGGACAGGGGTAAGACTGTGAGGCCAGCCTGGCCCCTAGGGGCAATGGATCGGGGAGGTCTCTGGACTCCATGGGAATCTCCTCCCCCGCCAAATGGGCAAAGGTGGGTTGGGTTTTGAGCCAGCCTGATACCACACAGCGGGAGATCGGCGCTGCGGGGTTGCCAGGCAAAATCTCTTGGGCAAAGCACCAGCTGCATCCATTCCCAGCAGGGCAGACTTTACCTAGATCGTAGGTTCTTTAGCCCAGGGTCATGCACGGCCTCCCTGTCATTGGAGCAGGACGGGAAGGGGAGTTGGATCCCGAAACTGTTATTTTGGAGCTGTTGTAACCTGGGGTCATGGTGCTGACCCTGCTCGCTCTCTGTGTTAAACCCAGTTGGGAGGACTTAGCTTGGTACTGCTGAAAAGAAGAGCTGGATTCCTAAGGAATTTGGGGTCGAAGAAGTATTGGCCTTGGGAATCAGGACTCCTGGGTTCTCTTCCCAAATCGGGGAGAGGGTAGGATCTAGTGGGTTAGAGCAGGGGGGCTGGAAACCAGGACTCCTGAGTTCTATTCCCAATTCTGGTAGTGTGGGGGTGGGATGATCTAGTGGATTAGATCCATGGGACTGGGAGTCTGGACTCCTGGATTCTCTTCTCTGTGTTGGGTGGGGAGTGGGGTCTAGTGGTTAGAGCAAAGGATTGGGAGTCAAAACTCCCGGGTTCTGTTCCCAGCTCTGCAGCTGTCTTGCTGTATAACCTTGGGCAAGTCACTTAATCCCGATGTTCCTCTAGTCTCATACCATTCCTCCACCTCCTGCTTGCACTGCCTAGCAGTGAAGTATTACCAAGCCTCCCTGAGGGACAGGACGGGAGCCCTCTTGCGACATTTAAGACTAGACTGTGCAAAGCCACAGGATGTGGTACTCAGGGGCTGACCCTCCCTGGGACCCAGTGAGTGTGGAATAGAGGGGCTGATCTCTCCAAATCCAGTGGGGGTGAAGCAGAGCTGCCTGAAAGCACTTTGATCTCTGTCCCTGGGCCCCACAATCAGTGGGAGGGGAGGGGAAAGCAAAGAAAATCCAGGACCAAAAACCAGTGGGACCCTCGGAGTTTTACCCCAGCTGAGTCATTACCCCCCATCCTGCCCCACGCTGGCTGTTTGGGGGCCCCTGTGTGACATGAGTTTGATGGAGCTCAGCTCACTTCCCACTGGGATGAGGCATCAGCCTTCCCACTGGGCAAAACAGGTCCCCCCTGCCACCCCTTGCTGCCAGACGTGAAACAAAGCCAGGGACCTCTGGCCAAGGGAAGCTCCTGGTCAGGTTTTTTTTTAAAGCAGCTGCATCCAGCTGACTCTGGGGTTGTGGGAGGGGCTTGCAACAAGCCCCACCTCTTATTTATTTACTTCTCTCTTTTTCCCCTAAGTCGGGACAACTGATTTTTGTGGGGGAGGGGGGGTGTCCCTGCAGCGCACAGTGGGGCAGAAAACCAGAGTGATGCGGGGGCAGGTTGGGACCCTCCGCATCTGCTAGCACAGATTGTCCTCTTGCTTAAATTGGGAGTCACACTAGTTCAAATCAGTGGAGTTACAGTGGTGTAAGTCAGGATTATCTGGATCAATAGCATTGCACCAGTGTAAATCAGGAGTGACTCCATGTAGATCAGTGGCAGTACGATGGTATAAACGAGGGATAACTCTGGATCAGTGGTGTCTGCTGGTGTAAATCAGGAGTAACTTGGTTTAGATGAATGGAGTTACTCTGGTTTAGATCATTGTGGTATCATGGGTGTAAACCAGTTGTAATTCTGTTTGGATCGATAGCATTACACTGGTGTAAATCAGGAGTATCTTGGGTTAGATTAGTGGTGTTACACTGGTTTAGAACATTGAGGTTACATCAGTGTAAATCAGGAGTAACTTGATTGGAATCAGTGGTGTTACATTGTAGTAAATCAGGAGAAACTGGATCAATGGTGTAATTGCAAGGAGTGTGGGGTTTATGGGGCTAGAGTACGATCTCTTTACACTGGTGTAAATCTGGAGTAACCACAGAAAGGCAGCATATTGAGGCCGGGCTGTTTCTAAGGGAATGGGGTGCCTGACCCAATGGGAGCCTGGCACCTAAATCGCTTCTGCTCCTTTGAAGATTCCCAACCTGAAAACCAATACGTGAACCTCGTTATTTTACCTGCTGCACAGTTAGCCTGGGGAACTCAATGCCACAAGTTCTCCTCTGAGGCCAAAAGTTTAACATCCTTCAGAAAAACGACTGGATGTTTATACAGATAACTAAACCTAGAAGTAGAATATTAAATATCTTTAAAATAACCAAGAGTTTTGGCAGGGCTATAAACCCTCATGCTATAGGGCATGACCCAACCTCTGACTATCAGGGGTCAGGAGGGAACTGACCCTATGGGCCAGCTATGCCATAATTACCCAGTAGGGGGCACCTCTTTCTGAACCATCTATTTATTGGCCTCTATTGGAGACAAGAGAATGAACTAGAAAGACACTTGGTTTGATCTGACTGTCCATGTGAACCTAATAGAGTGACCCTAGTTTTACCCCAATGTAAACAAGATTAGGGCTTGGCCTGGCCAGATTTGAGTGTGTTCAGTAGTACACTGGGTCCTATTCCCATTTCTCCATCCTTGTTCTTTTTTTCAAAATCTTCCCAGAAAACAAAACAAGACAAATCATAACTGTATAAAACCTGGCAAAGCTGTGTGTGCCAATGACCCTATGATAACCTTGGGGCCAATACAGCAGGGAGCCGACCGAAATACAGAAGGGTGCGGAGAGCGGGTCTTGTATATTACTGCAGGAATGAGATTCTTTTAATGCTATTTTATATATAAAAAAGTGCAGAGGGGGGCAGAGAGGGGAAAAAAACCAAACAAACAAAGAGAAAAAGTTAATATTAAAATTTTTTTGTGGTTGCCAATCTAATTTTTTTCCTTGTTTAAGTATTTTATCAGATTTGTATATTCAATATTGTCATTTCTGTGTATTTAAAAAAAAATTAAAAAGGGGGGAATGGAATCAGAGGAGAATGTTCTATTTAAAAGTGTATGTTGTATATTAAATCTTAGCAAAAGTGACTCTTAAATGTTTTCCCCTCCTTCTGTGGTGGGGTTTGGAGGTGCTGGTTCGAGCTTCCTAGATTTATAGGTCCAGAAAGGGATCATTCTGATCAGCTACGGCCAGATTCAAGAGATGCAAATAGTTTTCAGACACTGAAATGTGCCACTCACACACAGACCAAAGTGTCAGATGGTTTTATTGCAACATCAACAAGAGATAAGATGTTTCAAGCAGCGCTAAATTGCAGCTGCTCTTAATGATTTTAAAACTAGAGTAAAAGAAAAATAATCCAATATTTCAGCTATCGTTATATATTATGATTATATCTATTAGGACACGTCAGAAGGGGATGGCATATTGTGACAAAGGCCCTTTGTTTTCAGGTTTTATTCTGTTTAAAATTTCCTGGGAATTTATAGGGGTTTATTGCAGAAATTAAACGGTGCAAAAAATTGACTTCACAATTTTCTGGGTAAATATTGGAGTGAATGGTGGGATGGAGGACAGAGAAAAAGCAAGAAATAGAGAAGCATATTGAAAGTCAAAGCAGCTTAATACTGTGGTTTATTTCATGAACTGTACATTAACAAAAAGAAAAGGAGTACTTGTGGCACCTTAGAGACAAACCAATTTATTTTGAGCACAAGCTTTCGTGAGCTACAGCTCACTTCATGGGATGCATGACTGAATATAGCTCACGAAAGCTTGTGCTCAAAATAAATTGGTTAGTCTCTAAGGTGCCACAAGTCCTCCTGTTCTTTTTGCGAATACAGACTAACACGGCTGCTACTCTGAAACCTGTACATTAACAGTAAATACACATATGTACGTGTGTGTATCTTCCACTCCACCGCCTTACTTAGACAGACAGCCTTGTATGTACGTTTCAACTAATTTGTCTTTAACATCAATATATCTACCGGATGTAATGGGTTGGATTTGCTTAACGGAATCAGTATTTTCATGTACTTGAGCAGTCTAAACTTTGGGTGAAAATCAGTAAAAACTGCATAATAGCTTTTGTAAAAGCTAGGGATTTGTTGGTTTAAAAACCAAAAATGAAGGGCCTTAATTATGATATATTGTAATAATAAAAATAATCTTGAAATGGAAAAAAAAATTCAAAATGAAATTTAAAGGGGCCCAATGAAAATTCCCAAACTGTTTTTTTTTGTTTGTTTCCTAGAGGTCTGTGAAAATGTTTGTTTTTCTGACTTGGAATGAAACCAAAGTTTGAAGTGTAAACGTTTCCCACCTAATGGAAATTCTGAGTTCCAGTCAGCTCTCGTTGGGAGAATGTGCTGCAACTTTATACCTGTAGCGACTTCCTCTCGACGTAGTGGGTAGAGCAGTGGACACCAGGAGACCTGGGCTGTTCCCAAGTCTGCAGCTGGCCTGCTGGGTAACCTCGGGAAAGCTACTTGCCTCACTGTGCCTCAGTTTTCCCCTCTATAAAATGGGGATAATGGTACTGCCCTCTTTTTGTAAAGTGCTGGGACATCTTCAGATGACAAGAACTAGAGATTAGCAGGGAGAAGAAATCCAGGGGCTCGACTGCTGTAGCCAAAGAGCTGGTGTTTTTCAAGTCCCAGCTCCTGGAGTCATGACACTCTCCTGAAATACTGGCTTTCATTTTAATGGGAAGACCTTTCCAGCCTGGTGGTGGTGGTGGGAAGAAACTGCAATACATGTCCCAAATGTGCCCCTACTGGACTGGAAAACAGGTAGCCCAAAGTGCAATAAAACAACCCCAAAAACTAGTTTGGGGGGGGTCTTTGGATTTTTTAAATCTCCTGATGGCCTCTCGGGACCCAGCTTGTAGGTTCTGAGCCCGTGGTGCTGGCAGGCAGTTTCCCCAGCGTGGCAAGTAGGTTGCTGCCCCTGGTACTGGGGCCCAGCCTGCGGTGATGGTGGACGCTGCGGGGAGGTGGAAGGAGCCGCATCACCAGCACAAAACCAGCAGCGTCTCTGGCAACGATGGAGGAGGAAGAAGCTCTCGGCTTGGCCCAGAGGCAGGTGGGGGGGGGGGAATGAAAGACTCTAGTTGAGAGGCAGGTTATATGGGGGAAAGAGGCTGTGATTGGCTGGGAGGCAGGTTATATGGGGGGAAAGAGGCTGTGATTGGCTGGGAGGCAGGTTATATGGGGGAAAGAGGCTGTGATTGGCTGGGAGGCAGGTTATATGGGGGGAAAGAGGCTGTGATTGGCTGGGAGGCAGGTTATATGGGAAGAGGAGGCTCTGGTTGGCTGGCAGGCGGGTTATATGGGGGGAAAGCAGCTGTGATTGGCTGGCAGGCGGGTTATATGGGGGGAAAGCGGCTGTGATTGGCTGGCAGGCGGGTTATATGGGAAGAGGAGGCTCTGGTTGGCTGGCAGGTGGGTTATATGGGAAGAGGAGGCTCTGGTTGGCTGGCAGGCGGGTTATATGGGAAGAGGAGGCTCTCATTGGCTGGGCAATGGGTGACGGGTGGGGAGGCTGTGGTTGGCTGGGAGGCGGGTGAGAGCGGAAGGGGAGGCTCTCATTGGCTGGGAGTCGTTATTCTACCTTCAGCCAATCCGCTTCCTAGCCTCCCGAGCCCCGCCCACGTCGTTCCCGTAGCCAATCGGGGTGCAGAGGGGGCGGGGCCCGTGCGTGGCTGCTCTGCGACCTGCTGGGAGTCTTTGAACTTGGGGCCGGGCCGTGGCGCGCGGCGCTGACCCCGGGCCATGGAGCGGCGGCCGGCTGGGTAGGGGCGGCTCGGCGCGGGGAGCTGGGGGGGTGGCGTGGGGGACGTGGGGTGCAGGGGGGGCGTGCCCGGGGGCGTGAGGTGCAGGGGGTTGGGGGGGTGGAATGGGGTGGGGTGCTGGGGGGGTGGAGTGGGGGGCGGGCGTGCCCGGGGACTGGAGGAGTGGAGTGGGGGGCGTGCACATGGTGCGTGGGCGTGCCCGGGGGGCTGGGGGAGTGGAGTGGGGTCGGGGCATGCTGGGGGAGTGGGTGGGGGGGTGCACAGGGGGCATGGAGTGCAGGGGGTTGGGTGGGTGGAGTGGGGGGGTGCACTGGGGGGTTGGGTGGGTGGAGTGGGGGCATGGGATGGGGGGCGTGCCCAGGGGGCTGGGGGAGTGGCGTGGGGTGCGTGCACAGGGGGCATGGAGTGCAGGGGGTTGGGGGAGTGGAGTGGAGTGGGGGGCGTGCCCGGGGGAGTGGGGTTGGGGGAGGGTGTGGGGTGCACAGGGGGCATGGAGTGCAGGGGGTAGGGTGGGTGGAGTGGAGGGCGTGTGTGGGGGGCGTGGGGTGCAGGGGGTTGGGGGAGTGGAGTGGGGGGCGTGCATGGGGGGCGTGGGGTGCAGGGGGTTGGGGGAGTGGAGTGGGTGCATGCCTGGGGAGGGTAGAGTGGGGTGTGTGGGGCAGGGGGTTGAGGGGGTGGAGTGGGGTGCGTGCATGGGGGTGTGGGAGGAGGGGGCAGTGGGTGTGGACGGTACATAGCTGGGGGGATGTAGGAGCAGGGGGCTGGGTTCTGGGGTTGCGGGGGCTGGGAATCAGTGGGTGTGGAGGGTGTAGAGGTTCTGGGGGTGGAGGGTGGGGGAGCAGGGCTCTGGGGGAGATGGATGTGGGGGGGGACAGGGAGAGCTAAATGTTCCAGGGTGAACAGGGAGGTGGGTGCAGTGGGGGGAATAGGTGCAACTTTGGGGAAGAGTTGGGGGGTGGGGGGCAGTGGGGGGCCTGGCACACTGGCAGGGGGAGCTGGTGGTCGGATCTGGGCTCGGCTGCCAGGTCTGTGGGGCGCTGAGCCCTGCCCCGTGTGCCCAGGTCCCTGGGGCCGCTCTCCGAGGAAACCTTTCCCCGCCTGGCCGAGGCCGGGGTGCGGAGCCCCGAGTTCACCGCGCTTTGCGCCCGTCTGGTGGCGGAGCTCCGAGCCCTCTGCCCCTTGGAGGAGGACCTCAGTCCCACCAGCGGTGAGTTACCTGCCGGGAAATGAGGAGGGAGGGGGCTGGCCCGCCGGGGGTGGGGAGTGGGACACGGGGCCTTTCCTCCAGCGGCCCTGGTGATGCTGTGACCTACCTGACACCAACCCCGGAGTGACAGGGGAGCTCTGCTCCCAGCTGGGTCCCCTGGGTTCGTTATCACAGATAATCATACTGGCAGCGTAATTACACCCTGGGGAGGAAGCGTATCCCAGTGGTTAGAGACCTGGGATAAGTTTCCTGCCCTGCCACGGACTCCCTGTGTGACCTTGGCCAAGGCACCTAGCTTCTCCGTGCCTCAGTTTCCCCATATGTGTAATAGGGATAATAGCTCTGCCCTGCCTCCCCAGCAGGGTGGTGAGAATAGATACACTCTGGGGTGCTCAGATGCTATGGTTATGGGGCACACAGATCTGCCAGAGAGAGAGTGTTGTTAATCTGCAGAACTGGCTGCAGCAGGATGTCGTGGAGGCAGATACACCCCAGTTCGTGATCCAACGGTTTATCATAAGAGTAATCCCATTTCCACACACACATCCCGCGCTCAAGCCAGCCAGTCCCCGGCCCTGGGGCTGGATGGGAGCCAGTGCCCCCTGGGGGAAAGGCCCCGTGCCCCATTCCCCACCCCCTGTCCTGGGGCGTTCCCTCCCGAAGAGGCAGGGCTTGCTCCAGCAGCGGGGTGTTGGCTGTGCAGCCCGCCCACTCCGTGGGGTGCGGTGGGGGGGCGGAAGCATGCCAGGGGCGCGGGGCCCAGGGATTCATCGGTCTCTCCTGTTCCGGTGCAGGCCCTGAAGACGCCGAGACTTTCCAGATTGAGCTGAGCGGGCTGCTGCAAGAGCTGCATTGTCCCTACCCCGCGCTCACCACGGGGGACGTGACCGCCCGGCTGGGCAGCGCCCGCAGCTGCCTCCAGCTGCTGAGTGAGTGACGGCGGGAAGGGCCCTCGCTAGTCGGTAGCCAGGACTCCAGGGTCCTATTCCCGACTCTCCCAGAGGAGTGGGGTCTAGGGGCTGGGGGAGAGCCAGGACTCCTGGGTTCTATCCTAGCTCTGGGAGGGGAGTGGGGTCTAAGCAGATGGTTTGGAAGTGGGGAATCGAACGCAGGAGTCCTAGTAGCCCTGGGCCAGATAAAGATCCCCGCCCCGGAGGGCTGGCACATGTCTGACACCCGGTGCCCAGAGCGTCCCCTCTGCCCTGCCAGCCGCAGCCAGAAGAGCCCCGTGTCTCTCTCACCCCCGTGTTCTCTCCCAAGGCTTCCTGAGCTCAGAGCTGCAGGCCGCCCGGCTCCTGAGCTGGAAACGCCCCCCTTCGCCGCAGCAGGGAGAGGGGGCCGAGGCTGCCCGGCGAGAGCTGCGGCTCATCAGCCAGGCACTGGGCAGGCCGGAGCCGGCTCCGACCTGCCCCGTTCCCCAGCTCCTGGAGGACATAAAATCCAAGGTGAGGAGTCAGATGCACCGATTGTTGGGAGAGCTTCAGGGCGCCTGGGGCTCGGGGACCTTTCCCCTCTGGGGGCGCCAGCCCCAATCCGGCTGGCTCGGGGGGCAGGGAATGGGACATGGGGCCTTTCCCCTCTGGGGGCGCTAGTCCTGATCCGGCTGGCTCGGGGGGGGGCAGGGAATAGGACATGGGGCCTTTCCCCTCTAGGGGGCGCCAGCCCCAATCCGGCTGGCTCGGCGGGCAGGGAATGGGACATGGGGCCTTTCCCCTCTAGGGGGCGCCAGCCCCGATCCGGCTGGCTCGGGGGGCAGGGAATGGGACATGGGGCCTTTCCCCTCTGGGGGCGCTAGCCCTGATCCGGCTGGCTCGGGGGGCAGGGAATGGGACATGGGGCCTTTCCCCTCTGGGGGCGCTAGCCCTGATCCGGCTGGCTCGGGGGGGGGCAGGGAATGGGACATGGGGCCTTTGCCCTCTAGGGGGCGCTAGCCCTGATCCGGCTGGCTCGGGGGGCAGGGAATGGGACATGGGGCCTTTCCCCTCTAGGGGGCGCCAGCCCCGATCCGGCTGGCTCGGGGGGCAGGGAATGGGACATGGGGCCTTTCCCCTCTAGGGGGCGCCAGCCCCGATCCGCCCTCAGGGCAGGGGCTTGGCGGCAGCTCCGAGGCACCGTGCCGTGCAATGAATAAACAGGGCTCCCCAGCTGCAGGACGACAAGCCCCTGTTGCTGTCTCAGGCTGCTGGAGCCGCCCGGCAGGTGTCGCCTTTCCCTCGCCGGCTGCAGTTGCCCGCGCCATGTCTCCCTGCTTAATTCGCGTTCTCCCTCCTAGGTAGCCGAGGCCCTGTCCGCGCTGCCCCCCGGCCCCCAGGAGATGGCGCCGCTGCTGAGGGCGCCGCTGACGGCTCAGCAGTGGGTACGGAGGGGGCGCGGGGGGCGGGGGTCGCGTGGGCCAGCACAGAACCCACGACTTTGCTCCTGGCTCAGGGCTGGCCCTGGGTCAGCTCCCGGCTGCTGCGGAGCCCGGCCTGGGCCGCAGGGTTCAAAAGCAGCCGAAGGGAGTTAGGCCCTTGATTGAATCCCGGCGCCTGACTCCCCTGTTCCTGCCAGAGAATCCCGGTGCCTAACCACCATGCACAGACCCACCCCACTGCATAGGGCTCTTAACAGACCTTCATGAAAGGATCATAACTGGGTTTGATCCCTGGCAGGGGACTGGGGTCTCGTGTGTGAGTGGAGGGGGGCTGGGAGTCAGGATTCCTGGGTTCCACCCCTGCCTCCCTCTTTGGCTTGGAACAGGTAGCACCCCTCCCTGTTCCTCAGTTTCTCCCCTGAGGGGGGCCAGTGCAGTGGGAGGAAAAGGGGGGGCTGGCTTTCTGGCAGCCTGCAGCTGAGCGGCTGTCTCTGTCCCTCCCGGCTAGGAGGCGCTGGAGGGGGTCCGGCGAGCCCTGTGCGCCGAGTACGAATGCCGCAAGCGCATGATGATCACGCGCTTCAACGTCACCCTGCAGTCCTTCCACTGGTCCGAGAGGGCGAAGGTGAGGGGCCGGGGGGATTCCAGTGAGGGGAGAGGCCTGGCTGGTGCCAAGGAATGAGACACGGGGCCTTTCCCCTCTGGGGGGTGCCAGCTCCCATCTGGCCCCAGGGCAGGGACTGGCTGGCTGGGGGGGCAGGGAATGGAACGTGGGGCCTTTCCCCTCCGGGGGGCGCCGGCTCCCGTCCGGCCCTGGGGCGGGGACTGGAACGTGGGGCCTTTCCCCTCTAGGGGGCGCCGGCTCCCGTCCGGCCCCAGGGCGGGGACTGGCTGGCTGGGGGGGCGGGGACTGGAACGTGGGGCCGGCTCCGGCTCCCGTCCGGCCCTGGGGCGGGGACTGGAATGTGGGGCCTTTCCCCTCTAGGGGGCGCCGGCTCCCGTCCGGCCCCAGGGCGGGGACTGGCTGGCTGGGGGGGCGGGGACTGGAACGTGGGGCCGGCTCCGGCTCCCGTCCGGCCCCGGGGCGGGGACTGGAACGTGGGGCCTTTCCCCTCTAGGGGGCGCCGGCTCCCGTCCGGCCCCGGGGCGGGAACTGGCTGGCTGGGGGGGCGGGGACTGGAACGTGGGGCCTTTCCCCTCCGGGGGGCGCCGGCTCCTGTCTGGAGTTGCGGAGGCTGCGGAGGGGCCGGGTCCCAGGGGCTCTGGGCCGGGGGTGTCTGACCTGGGCTGACGCTGTCTCACCGGGAAGGATTTTTCCTCCCACAGGCCCACGGCGCCGCCCTGCTGGCTGCCCTCTCCCCGCTGCGGCAGGCTGAGTCGGTCGCCTCCGGCGTCACCCTGGCCCGGCTGCTGGCCGCCCGCGAGGACGCCTCGCGCATTGTCAGTGCCAGCAGTGGGCTCTGCCGCCACCGGACCAGCTGCGCCATCAATAAGGTACGTGCAGCGCCCGGGCCGGGGGGGGGACACGCAGCCCCGCCCCCATGCAGAGCAGCTTGCTGCCGGTGCACGAGACACACACCCCCCTCGTGCGTCGCACCAGGACCAGAGCTCCGGCCGGGCCAGGCGCTGGGCCCTTCCCACCCCGCCGTTCGCTCCCTTTCGGGGTGGGTACAGCGGGGGGAGGAGGGGGCTGGGTGTCTTTCTTGCCTTTTACCTCTGCTCCTGTTTTCCCCACCCCCCCGGCAGGTGCTGATGGGCGGCGTCCCGGACCGAGGGGGCCGCCCCAATGAGATCGAGCCCCCCATGCCCACCTGGGAGAAGAGGCGCGAAGGGGGGGGAGGCCAGCCGCGCTGGGGCCGCCGGAGCAAGAAGAAGAAATGAAGCCCGCTCTGTCTGTGCTGGGAGCTCCCCCCCCCCCCCCCCCCCCCGCACACACGCTGCAGGGGGGACGGGCAGAACATCCGGGGGGCAAAGACTCAAGGACTCTAGAGCCGCCCTATGCAGAGTGGGCGGTGGAGGGGAGTTGGGGCTCAGAGGGGCTGCTGCCCCCTACAGCCAGGGGTGATAGAGCAGCTACTGATCAGAGGTCAGGACGCCTGGGTTCCATCCCCAGCTCTGGGAGGGGAGTGGGGTCTGGTGGCTAGAGCAGGGGGGCTGGGAGCATAAGAAGTCAGGCTTGGAAACTCTTGGGAGTGTACCATGTTGCACTTTCCACGTTGCCCAGCAGGGGGTGCTGCAGCTTTTGCCTTGGCAAGCGGAACTCGGAGCGGATTGTTTTGGAAGGGGGGCGGGGAGGATGATTCTCGTTTGTAAACTGAGGCACGAGGAGGCTGCCTTGCTGGCAGGGAGCGGGAGGGTCCTGCTCTGGGGACCCCGGCGGGCTGCGTTAGGGGGCTGGCAGGTGGGTCTATGCTGTAAATTTCAGGCTCTGGCCTCAGTCAAGGGGTGGGTTTGTACTGTGATCGTTCCCCGCCCACACGTTCTTTAAATGGATCCGGAGGGACCTTCCGAGGGGATTAAAGTGTCGAAGCAAACGGCTGCTTCAGCGAAAGTGCCGGGGCATGGGGAGGGGGGCTGGGGTTTGTCCGCAGCCGGGGAACGTGAGGCGGGTTTGGGCCAAGCAGAGAGGGGCCGTGTGATAGTCTCCTGGGCCCCGATCCTGGAGTGCTGCACCCCCCACTCCCCAGCTTGGGGCTCCCCTCCCCCCCCAGCTCTGCCAATGCCCAGGCGTGGGAGGGGGTGGGTTAGGGTGGAGGAGCTGGGCTGAAGCTCTGAGCTGGCCTCACCCCGGCCCCTTGATCCCCTTCCCCCTAAGTGCAGGGGGTGGGTCCCGGGCCCTGTTCACCTCTTCCCATGGCCGATAGGCAGTGACTCCATCAGAATCACGTGACCCGAATCCTGGGGTTCAGGGCTCTGAATTTCAGGGGGTTGCGATGCTTGTGTGGGGATCCCCCGTCATGCCCGTTGTTGCCCTGGGCGACGCTGATGAACGCTCTTGCCCGTACCCCCGCTCCCCTCCAATCTCCATAATTATCTTCACAGCCTAACAAAGGCCAGGAGGGGAAACTGAGGCAAGGCTGGTGGCGGAGTGGTCGACAGGCGCCCCTCAACACGGTAGCATGGAGCAGAGAGGGGGCAGCTGTTGGCCTAGCCCAGGCCCGGCTCGACAAAGACGCATTCCCTTTATTGGGGCCATGCCCAGGTACAGTCCGGGAGCCAGGCTGCCCAGCCTGGCTTGCTGGGGCCCGAGGGCTTGGGGTCGAGCCGCCGGCTTTGAGTCCCTCGGCGGCGCCGGGAGAGGCGGGCGAGTCCGGCCGGCTCAGGCCTTGGAGTCATGCCGCAGGTGCAGGGAGTCCATCCCTTCCAGGAGCAGGGTGAGCGAAGCCTGGCCGTGGCCCCCCTCCTCCGCCTTGCCCAGGCGCCCCTCGGCCTCGCCCGTCAGCAGCCGCCCGTTCTCCACCTCCAGCTGGGCGTTGCGGCAGTGCAGCCCGATGTTCTCCAGCAGCAGCCGGTTCCGCTCCTGCGGGGGGGGGGAGCAGAGCTGTGGGGTGGGGGGGGAGCAGGGACCCTGCACAGCTGTGCAAGGGAAGCCCCCTTTAGTCCCAGCCAACTCCACCCGTGGGTGGCCCCATTTGCATCCCCAGCCCCTGGGGGAGGGGGGTCTCCAAAGACCCCCCCCCATCGTACCCCTGTTTTGGGGGTCTCACCTTCTCCAGCTCCTGCAGGTGCTCCAGGAGCTTCTGGTCCCTGCTGCAGCCGCCCACCCCGCCGTGGGGCTCGGAGCCCTCCACTGTGGGGCTGGCGTCGTCCGTCTGCGTCCAGGCGTCCCGAGTCCGCCGCCGGCCAGCTGGCACCCCTGCCAGCACCACGGCCCGCTCCTCCGCCGGCTCGCCCACCGGGGGAAAGGGGAAGGCCTCTTCCTCCGAGCCTGCCGTGGGGAGAGGGGGCCCTTTAACTGGGGCAGGCCACAGGCTGTGCCACTGCCAGGAGTGGGGGGAGATCCACTGACCCAGCCACGGGGGAGAACAGGTGGAGAGGGGGCCCTTTAAATGGGGCTGGCCATGGACTGTGCCACTCTCTGGAAGTGGGGGGGAAGACAGTAGGAAGCAGGGGGTGGGGGGGAGTGTTAACATGCTTGTGGCCATTTAAAATGGGTCATGCCACGGGGAGGTCCACGGCCTTGGGGGGAAGAGGGGAGGCCCACGGGTGGTTCCACTGTCCTGGTGAGGGCAGGGGGGATAGACTGCTCCATTGTTGGGGGGGGAGGGGAGGGGGTAACGGTACCTGAGCTGGGGTGCTGTGTGGCGGCACGGGGCGTGCCCCCCTCTGGGGCTCTGGCGTGGAACCTCTTCTTGCACTCCAGCTCCACCAGGTCCTTGCATTGCTTGTGGCAGATCATGCCACAGTCTGGGGGGGGACACACGATACGTGACCTAAGCTGGGGGGCCTGGCATTACCCCACCCCCCCACCCCCGTAGTGCCAGGAGAATCCCCCTCTGCCCTGAGCAGTGCAGGGCTCAGGACACACAGTTGTGCAGTTCTATCTCCAGCCAGCAGGGGGCAGCGCTCAGTAGACAGATGGACATGCATGATCCACCCTGGGGGCTGCTTAGTCCCATGGGCCTCTGCTTCTCCCTAGCCCTATTACCAACATTCTCCCCACACATGTTGCCCCATCGGGGCCGCACTTACCCCGACATCTGTACCCCTGCTTGGAGACACCCCAGAGCTAGAGGAGAGAGAGCGGAGCCTGTTAGCTGGGCCTTTTTGGGGGGTGGGGGGAGGGGGGGAGTGTTGCATTGTCCCTGTGAAGGGGGATGGGGATTTTGCAATTGGGGGATTGTTGGGTCTGGACCCCCACACACACACTGGCAGTGTCCACAAATATAGGGGATGACTAGGGGGAGTTGGGTGGGGGGTTAACCTCCCCCAGTGCTGCCCCTGGGAGAGTGACGTGGGGCAGGATTCTTAGTGGGGGTGGCTGGAGAGCAGCAGATATTTGGTGCATTCCCTTTCCTGGCCACCTGGGGGGGCACTGTGGGGGCAGGGTCTTTGGCCCAGCTGGGGTTTAAAGTACCCCCCACCCATTCCTGGCTGCCAGGGGGTGCTGTGGGGCAGGGTCTCTGGCAGCCCTGGGATTTGGGGCACCCCTGTCCCGCGGGCGCTGGGGGCCAGGGTCACTTACGAAGCCATTGCAGCTATGGCAGAAGGTGGGTTTCTTGAAGGTGGCCTCCTGGAAGTCGTGCAGGAAGCCGAGGCCCAGCTTGGAGAAGACGGCGCAGGCCCGCATGAAGTAGTCGGTGAGCTCCTGGCGGCTGTAGGGTCCCTCGCTGCCGGGACAGGAACGGGACAGTGAGGGGGCTGCCTTGGAAGTGGGGCGGGGGGGGGGAGTGATACTGACAAAGGGGCCTTGCGGGGGAAATTGAGGCATGGAGCCAAGGAGCAACTTGCAGTGAGTCAGAGCTGGGGTTAGAACCCAGGACTCCTGGCTCCCAGGCCCCCCCTGCGGTAACCACTAGACCCCACTCCCCTCCCAGAGCCAGGGATAGAACCCAGGAGTCCTGGCTCCCAGCCCCCCTCCCAGCACATACTCACCGGTCTTTCCCCAGGCCGTAGAAGGAGAAGGGGAAACTGGCCACAATCTTTTCAAAGTCCTCTTGGGAGATGCAGCCGCGCTGGTCCTGGTCGTAATTCTTAAATACAGACTGTGGGGGGGGGGGGCATTAACCAGCGGCAACGTAAGCCCATCCCCACGCCTGGCCCCAATACCCACTGGCAGCCCTTCTCCCCCTGCCTGCCCCGATCTAGGGTGGCACCCCGTTCTGACCTGTCAGCCCTTCAGAGTGGGGTGTGGCTGGGGGGAATTGCTTTGTATCTTGGCATCAAATGGACGGATACCCCCCTTTGCCTGCTGGGGGTTGTGTGGATCCTATATGGTCCTGAGTGTGCCCCCCTCCCCTGAGACAGGCTGCCGGTGGCCGTGCCTGGGCAGCGACTCCCCCAGGGGCTGGTCCATATAAAGGGATAACAGGGGAGCTGCTCCCCTGAAGGTCCCAGGTTTGAGTCCTGCCCCTTCTAGGCCTTGGGGCAGCATTGACTGCCCAGGGGCTGGGCCCAGCACACAGGGCAGTAAGAGGAGCTGTGTCCGGGCAGGTGCCACCCCCGGCCCGTGTGGGGCTCAGCCCTGGTGGGTCTGGCTACAGCCAATTGATGCCTTTGGCCTTCTGCCCTGGGAGGGGAATGGGTGTCATGCAGAGCGGGGTGGCACTGTGCCCCCCGCCCGGCCACTGGGCAGCGTGACACACGCCCCCCCCGGCCCCTGCACTGGGCAGCGTGACACACACCCGCCCCCCCGGCCACTGCAGGGAGTGACACACACCCTGGGCAACTACACACCTGCCCAACACACGTGGCAAACAAACCCCACACCCAGCTGGGGCCTTGGCGCAGGGCAGATGCCCCCCAGCTGGCTTGGGGTTAGGCTGCCCAAGGCCCAGGGGGCTGCGCTGAGGGGGGGGCACCTGGCTCACCTCCACCATCTGCTGGACGTGTTTGCTGATGGTGAGCCGGTCCGGCTTGGGGGCCACGCCCGGCGCCCACTCCACCACCACGGGGGGTTTGAAGGGTGTGGCCAGCTGTGGGAGGGCAGAAGAAAGGGTCAGATACGAGTGCCTCGAAACAGGGAGAGGAGGGTTGGGGGGGGTCCCGGTTCAGCTCCCCCCACAGCTTACCAGGGACTTGGGGCAGCGGGGTTCCCGGGCATAGGAGAGCTGGTAGATTTCATCGTCCGTATAGTACAGGTCAAGGGAGAGCTGCGGGGAGGGGCAGAGAAGGGGGTTAGAGGCTTGGGGGGCAGGGTCCCACTGGGAACGACCTTCCCGTACCTACCGGAGAGGGCGTAAGGGGCTGAGATTGCTGCCCCCTGCTGGCCGGGGGCAGAGCCATTTGCACGGGGTGCAGTCATGCAATGGCACCGGTGGGGGGGGGGAGTTGTGCAATTGCACCACTGTTCCCTGCTGGCAGGTGTGCGTGTGTCACCACGCTCAGCTCGCTGGGCACAGTGTGTGCGCGTGTTTGCACGTGGGGCAGTGGAAGCTAGCCAGTGCCCCTGACCCACTGCTCCCTACGACTGGCATGCTGGGCCGAGGGTGGGGGAAGGGGAGATCTGGGGCATTCCCCCAAGCCCCACCCCTCCTGAGTCCCCTTGCACCTGCACCCCCCCTTGAACACCTGCCTTGCACCTTCTTGCACTCCCACCCTTGCACGCTTCTGCCCATTGAACACCCAGCCCCGGCCTTCTGCACATTTGATCCTGGCCTTCCACACACCTTGCACCACCACCCCTCGCCCACCCCCTTCCACACCTCCCCCCCATTCTTCTGCACACCTGACCCCGACATCTCGCACGCCAGACCGTGCCCCCACCCTCGCACACCTGGCCCTGTCCTCGTTCAGCCCCGCGCTCTGGCACGCCTGGCAGGGGGCTCACCGTGAGCAGGTGCACCAGGTCCTTGTTGGCCTTGAAGGGCGGCGCGGCCTGTTGCAGAGCCCGCAGCTCCAATGCCTGCTGGTAGAGGCCCTGCAGCTTGCTGAGGTTCAGCTGGCCCCCCACGCGGTCGGGCAGCGCCTCGTGCAGGGACACCAGGTCCTTGAGGTGCACCCCCACGATGGGGATCTTGAACCCGGCGCACTCGCCATAGGCCCGCCGGTAGGCACTGTAGTTGCAGCAGGAGGACAGCAGCTCGGTCATCTCCGCCAGCACCTGGGGGGGGCAGGGCGGGGGGAGGCCAGAGGGTCGGAGATCAGGCAGCCTGCCCTTGCCCCCAGCTCTGCGGAGGCGGGGGAGGAGAAATGGCCCTGGGGGGGGGCGAGCGATGGCCTGGTGGGGGCAGCTTGGAGACGCCCAACGCCCTCCCCCCCGCCCCGGGCAGAGCCCCCCCGCTCGCAGGCCGCGGGGCCCACAGCCAGTTGCAGGGGGAGGGCTGTGAAGACACGCAGGGCGGGGGGTGCGAGGGGCGGCCGGGGCCCACCTTGGTGACCTCCTGCGGCAGCTGGGCGTGGGTGTCCTTGAGGCGGGAGATGGCGCTGTGGCAAAGCCCGCCCAGCACCGCCATCAGCGTGTTGAAATTCTGCAGCTGGCGCAGCTTCTGGGGGGCAGAGAGTTGGGGGGCGTCAGGCAGCTGGCCCAGTCCCCCCCCCGTCGGGCTCAGGCTTCCCCCCGCTCCGACCCCCCAGGCCCCTGCGTTCTCACGTGCCTGCTCACATGTGCACACTTGCACGCACACACGAGTATTTTCTTGCACGCGCGCAGCCTCGCACGGTGCATAGATGGGCACCTGCGCGTGCGCACACCTGTGCCTTCCTGCGTGCAGCCCATGCACACTCGCCTGCACTTTCACCCACGCGTGCTCACACCAGTGCACACCCCCATCCATCGGCACTGTCACCCCCACCTCCGTGCAGTCACACACGCCCCCCCGGCACACCCCGATTCCCCCACCCCTCCTGGACCTGCTTTGTGAAAGAGTCTTGGACCCTGCGCCCCCCCCCTTCCCCACAGTGCCCCTTTCAGCCCCCTGCCGCAGCGCCCCTGGTGGCAGCTAGCGGGAGGGCACCCTCACCTGCGTGACGCGGATGAACTTGGTGAAGACCTCGGCTCGCTGCTGCGGCGTGGGCCGGTTGAGGATCATGACCTGCACCCACTGGGAGATGCTGTTGCAAAGGGCCACGGAGCGTTCCAGGGCCAGGTTTTCCTGCACGGAGCCCTGCAGCACGTAGCTCCTGTAATCCAGGCACTGCCCGGAGCGGTGGGGAGAGCGGGAGAGAAGAGAGCTCAGCAACCAAGGCAGCCGCTGCACTGAGCCACCCTCCGACCCAGGGAGCCAGAGCTGGCCGAGGCCCAGGGGCTGGAGTCAGCTGTGGGATCTATTGAGCTGCTCTCCAGGAGCTGGGGTGAGTGGTGGGCTCTACTCTGCCGCTCTCAGAGCTGGGGAGACAGAGCCGGCCGAGGCCCAGGGGCTGGTGTCAGCTGTGGGATCTATTGAGCTGCTCTCCAGGAGCTGGGGTGAGTGGTGAGATCTCCTCTGCCGCTCTCAGAGCTGGGGAGGCAGAGCCGGCCGAGGCCCAGGGGCTGGTGTCAGCAGTGGGATCTATTGAGCTGCTCTCCAGGAGCTGGGGTGAGTGGTGAGATCTCCTCTGCCGCTCTCAGAGCTGGGGAGGCAGAGCCGGCCGAGGCCCAGGGGCTGGAGTCAGCAGTGGGATCTATTGAGCTGCTCTCCAGGAGCTGGGGTGAGTATTGAGATCTACTCTGCCCCTCTCAGAGCTGGGGAGGCAGAGCCGGCCGAGGCCCAGGGGCTGGTGTCAGCTGTGGGATCTATTGAGCTGCTCTCCAGGAGCTGGGGTGAGTAGTGAGATCTCCTCTGCCGCTCTCAGAGCTGGGGAGGCAGAGCCGGCCGAGGCCCAGGGGCTGGTGTCAGCAGTGGGATCTATTGAGCTGCTCTCCAGGAGCTGGGGTGAGTGGTGAGATCTACTCTGCCGCTCTCAGAGCTGGGGAGGCAGAGCCGGCCGAGGCCCAGGGGCTGGTGTCAGCAGTGGGATCTATTGAGCTGCTCTCCAGGAGCTGGGGTGAGTGGTGGGATCTCCTCTGCTGCTCTCAGGGCTGGGGAGGCAGAGCCGGCCGAGGCCCAGGGGCTGGTGTCAGCAGTGGGATCTATTGAGCTGCTCTCCAGGAGCTGGGGTGAGTGGTGGGATCTCCTCTGCCGCTCTCAGAGCTGGGGAGGCAGAGCCGGCCGAGGCCCAGGGGCTGGTGTCAGCAGTGGGATCTATTGAGCTGCTCTCCAGGAGCTGGGGTGAGTGGTGGGATCTCCTCTGCCGCTCTCAGAGCTGGGGAGGCAGAGCCGGCCGAGGCCCAGGGGCTGGTGTGAAAGGTGGGATTTCTCCTGACTCTCTTCCTCTTCCCAGCGCTGCTAAATGCCTCCAGCAGGAGCTTAGAGCGACCGCAGCTCGGTACAGCTATTTGCCCCAAAGAGGCGGGGGCTGCGGGGCGGGCGGGCCAGGGGAGGCTGCAGAGGAAGGGGGGTGGCAGGAGGCAGGCGAGGCGCAGGGCCCGGGGGAAGTGCGCTCACCGAGATGCGGCAGAAAGCTTTGAACTCCAGGTAGCTGAGGTGCTCGGCCAGCTCCGCCGCGTCCAGGTGGTCGAAGAGCAGAGACACTTTCCGCTTCTTGTTGCAGCCGGGGCTGCTCTGGTAGCTGACCTTGCGGGTCCAGCTGGGGGGGGGAGGGAGGGGAGCAGGTTAGAGGGGCAGAGGTGTGGTGCCCGCACAATCACCCCCTGTCTGTGCACACCCCTGCAGGTGCCCGTGCACACCCACACCCCGTGCACACACTCGTGTACCCCCTGCACAAACACACTTGTGCCTGCCCCACAAACCGGTGCACACCCCCCATGGGCCCATGCACACCCACACCCCATGCACACACACACTCGTGTACCCCCTGTACACCATGCACAGACACACTCACTTGTGCATGCCCCACATACGGGTGCACAAACCCCCATGTGCCCATGCACACTCACACCCCGTGCACAAATACACTCACTTGTGCATGCCCCATACACCGGTGCAGACATCCCCAAGTGCCCATGCACACTCACGCCCCGTGCACAAACACACTCACCTGTGCACACCCATGCATGCTCCCCCATGTGAACAAACACACCCATCCATGCCCAGCCCCAGCCACCTATGCACTCCTACCATCTCCAGACACCTGGGCACACACGCCCTGTGGGCAGCGCAGCGATGCAGGGAAAGGGGAGGCAGGGAGCAGGGGTGGCTGGGCAGGGCCCATCCTTACATGTGGGTCGTGTCCGCTGGCTGGCAGTGCCCGTGACCCTCGGCCTGCACGGCTTGCCAGAGCTCGCCCATGGCCTCCTCCAGCTGGGGCTCCAAGCGAAAGGCCTCGGGGTGATGCGTGATCCAGTACCTGGGCGAGGGGGCGGGAAACATGGGGCAGGGTTAGGGCATCGGCTGCAGGCCACCCCCGCACAGGCACTCCCAGGGAGGGGCAAGGAGCGTTGGGGGAGCGCTGCGGGAACGGGGTGCATTGGAGGGATGGGGAATGTTGGTGGGTGGGGTCAGGGGAGTAGTGCGGGGGTGGGCTGAGCAGTGGGGGGATGGGGGCACGGGTGGAGCAGTGCAGGGGAGCAGTGGGGGAAGAGTGCGGGGGCGGGGGGAGCAGTGGGGCGATTAAGGGTTGGAGGTGCAGGGGAAGCAGTGGATGGATGGGGGGCAGGGGGGAGCTTTGCAGGGGCACGGAAGCAGTGGGGGGATGGGGGGGACGGAGGGCGCAGGGGGCTCTCACCTGACGAAGTTGCAGATCCGTTGGCGTCTTTCCATCTGATCCTCCCCAGACGCCTCCCGGTAGGTGGCTCCGAGTTAAGGCTCCATCCCCCTTGGAATCCCCGGGAATAGAACCCAGGAGTCCTGAGAGCTCCCCTGCCACCCCCGGCTTGCTGCTGTCCACACAGCCCCCCCTGCTGGGGGTGAACCGCCCTTCCCACGTCCCTCCCCCCGCCCCCGTCAGGGCAGCTCCCAGCCCAGCCAGAGGGGGGCACCGCTGAGCACCCAGAGACCCATCCCTGCCCCAGTCTGACCTCAGCCCCCCTCCCGCCCGCTGCACCGGGAGCTCCCGGCCTGGCCTGGGGACCCCAGGGGGAGGGCCGGGCCGCAGGGGGAGGATATAGCGCCAGGAGGTGGCGGGCGAGGTCAGCCGAGGGCACCACCCAGCTGTGGACGGTCAGGGTCATGTTCACCGTGTAGTCGCTACGGCACAGGGTTCCGTCCGGGGCTGGGGAGGCAAGGGCAGGGGAAGGGTTAATGGCACCGGGGGGAGGGCAGGGGGCCGTGAGGAATGTTAATGGGGGCAGGGGGGACATTTGCCGCATGGAACGGGGCAGCTGGATTCCACCCCATTGGGAGTCACGAGTTGGCCGCTCTCAGCCCTTCTCCTCCGTGGGTAGTGGGTGTACCTGTCAGGGCAGGGGGCTGCGGGTCGGGAGTGAGGGGCACCGGCAGAGCTGGGGGCCGGGGGAGCCCAGGGCTGCGGGTCAGGAGTGAGGGGCATTGGCAGAGCTGGGGGCGGGGGGAGCCCAGGGCTGCGGGTCGGGAGTGAGGGGCATTGGCAGAGCTGGGGCGGGGGGAGCCCAGGGCTGCGGGTCGGGAGTGAGGGGCACCGGCAGAGCTGGGGGCGGGGGAGCCAGGGCTGCGGGTCGGGAGTGAGGGGCACCGGCAGAGCTGGGGCGGGGGGAGCCCAGGGCTGCGGGTCGGGAGTGAGGGGCATTGGCAGAGCTGGGGGCGGGGGAGCCCAGGGCTGCGGGTCGGGAGTGAGGGGCATTGGCAGAGCTGGGGGCGGGGGAGCCCAGGGCTGCGGGTCGGGAGTGAGGGGCACCGGCAGAGCTGGGGCGGGGGAGCCCAGGGCTGCGGGTCGGGAGTGAGGGGGCATTGGCAGATCTGGGGGCGGGGGAGCAGGGCTGCGGGTCGGGAGTGAGGGGCATTGGCAGAGCTGGGGGGGGGGAGAGGGCTGCGGGTCGGGAGTGAGGGGCACCGGCAGAGCTGGGGGCCGGGGGAGCAGGGCTGCGGGTCGGGAGTGAGGGGGCATTGGCAGAGCTGGGGGCGGGGGAGCCCAGGGCTGCGGGTCAGGAGTGAGGGGCATTGGCAGAGCTGGGGGCGGGGGAGCCAGGGCTGCGGGTCAGGAGTGAGGGGCATTGGCAGAGCTGGGGGCGGGGGAGCCCAGGGCTGCGGGTCGGGAGTGAGGGGCATTGGCAGATCTGGGGGCGGGGGGAGCCCAGGGCTGCGGGTCAGGAGTGAGGGGCATTGGCAGAGCTGGGGGCCGGGGGAGCCCAGGGCTGCGGGTCAGGAGTGAGGGGCATTGGCAGAGCTGGGGGCGGGGGAGCCCAGGGCTGCGGGTCGGGAGTGAGGGGGCATTGGCAGAGCTGGGGCGGGGGGAGCCCAGGGCTGCGGGTCGGGAGTGAGGGGCACCGGCAGAGCTGGGGGCGGGGGAGCCCAGGGCTGCGGGTCGGGAGTGAGGGGCACCGGCAGAGCTGGGGGCGGGGGGAGCCCAGGGCTGCGGGTCGGGAGTGAGGGGCATTGGCAGAGCTGGGGCGGGGGGAGCCCAGGGCTGCGGGTCAGGAGTGAGGGGCATTGGCAGAGCTGGGGCGGGGGGAGCCCAGGGCTGCGGGTCGGGAGTGAGGGGCACCGGCAGAGCTGGGGGCGGGGGGAGCCCAGGGCTGCGGGTCGGGAGTGAGGGGCATTGGCAGATCTGGGGGCGGGGGGAGCCCAGGGCTGCGGGTCGGGAGTGAGGGGCATTGGCAGAGCTGGGGGCGGGGGGAGCCCAGGGCTGCGGGTCGGGAGTGAGGGGCATTGGCAGAGCTGGGGCGGGAGGAGCCCAGGGCTGCGGGTCAGGAGTGAGGGGCATTGGCAGAGCTGGGGCGGGGGGAGCCCAGGGCTGCGGGTCGGGAGTGAGGGGCATTGGCAGAGCTGGGGGCGGGGGGAGCCCCCTTACCGAAGGAGTTGAGACATTTCTCGATGAGCTGCTCCAGGCTGCAGGTCTTGGTGAGCTCCCCCAGCGCCAGGCTGGCCATAACCGTGTTGATCTCCCTGGGGGTGGGGCAGGTCATTCGACGCCGGTTCTGCCGCTGGCGGATCTTGCCGGAGCCGGAGCCGGAGCCGGGGCTGGTGGGGCAGGGACATTCTGCCCGTGACTTCCTGAGAGGGAGGGGGCCAGTCGGGGGGTCACTTCTCACTTGCTGCCCAGGTCCTGCGACCGCTGAGGCCCCGGGACCAAACTAGCGTTCTGCCTCCCAGGCACCCCGGCTCTAACCACTAAACCCCACTCCCCTCCCAGAGCCAGGCAGAGAACCCAGGAGTCCTGGCTCCCAGCTCCCCCACTCTAACCACTCGACCCCACTCCCAGACTCCCGAGCTAGGATAGAACCCAGGAGTCCTGGATCCTGGCCCCCTCCCCTCTTGGGCTTCTTGCGGTGCGAAAGCCAAATTAAAAGAAAAACAGAAAAAGGGAAACTGAGCCTAGGAAAGGGGAAGTGCGAAGCTGGCTCTGTCGGAGGCAGGAGAATAGGCCCCACAGCCCCTTCCCCTGGCATGGCAGACCTGGGGCCCCCGCATGTGGGCCCCACGACGGCTGGGTCTTCCCCAGAGCCCCCTGCCCCGCTATGGGATTCGGTAGCTGGGCAGCCCGGTGTTCGCCCTGGCCCGCGGCGAGGACCAGAGACAACCATGGCGACGGAGCCAGTCCCAGGGTGGGAGGAGGGACTTGTGGGACCCAAAGCAATGCACATGCCAGGCTGGGGGTGCCTGGCTGATGCCAGAGAGAGGGCTGAGGAGGGTTTGCCAGGCCAGAGCCGGGGGCGGGGTCTGGCTTTAATGTAACGAGTAATCAGTAGTGCAGGTTGCGTGACAAGGCATGTGGAGCGGACGGGCACCACTGTCGTGGGTGCTTTACAACCACTAGACCCCACTCCCCTCCCAGAGCTAGGGAGAGAACCCAGGAGTCCTGGCTCCCAGCCCCCCTGCTCTAACCACTAGACCCCACTCCCCTCCCAGAGCTGGGGAGAGAACCCAGGCGTCCCGGCTCCCAGCCCCCCTGCTCTAACCACTAGACCCCACTCCCCTCCCAGAGCTGGGGAGAGAACCCAGGCGTCCCGGCTCCCAGCCCCCTGCTCTAACCACTGACCCCACTCCCCTCCCAGAGCTGGGGAGAGAACCCAGGGGGGCCTCCGCCCCCCTGCTCTAACCACTAGACCCCACTCCCCTCCCAGAGCTGGGGAGAGAACCCAGGCGTCCCGGCTCCCAGCCCCTGCTTTAAGCATGTTTCTATGTGTTAACCCCACAAGTGGATCCAACGGATTTGGCTCCACATTGGCACTGTTTGGCTCAGCGTTTGTCCCGCCCCCACGGGCCGCTCTCAACCCCAAACTCGGGGTGCCCAGAGGGGGGAGCAGCCCTGGTTCCAATTCACCCCCTGCAGCCTTCCCGCGCCTGCAAAGCCTGGTGGCTTCCTGCCCCTTTCCTGGCAGGGGCATCAGCCCTGCTTCTGCATTTCCAGCAGCCGCATTGCGCCATGGCCCACAGCACCAGGCCCCCACCTCCCCCCGTGGGCAGGCTGCTGGCTGAGCGGGGAGGACCTGGGGGGTGCCCAGAACAATTCCCTTCCCCCTCCATCGCCTCTTGCCCAATGCCCTTCCATGCCACAGGACTGCACTGCGGGGAAGGCTCACACCGCCTGCTGGTTTGGGGGGCTTTTGTCTGTGCTGCCAAGCCCCCCCTGCTCTAACCACTGGACCCCACTCCCATCCCAGTGCTGTGGATAGAACCCAGCAGTCCTGGCTCCCAGCCCCCCCTGCTCTAAGCACTGGACCCCACTCCCCTCCCAGAGCCAGGGATAGAACCCAGGAGTCCTGGCTCCCAGGCCCCCCTGCTCTAAGCACTGGACCCCACTCCCCTCCCAGAGCCAGGGATAGAACCCAGGAGTCCTGGCTCCCAGCCCCCCCTGCTCTAAGCACTGGACCCCACTCCCCTCCCAGAGCCAGGGATAGAACCCAGGAGTCCTGGCTCCCAGCCCCCTGCTCTCACCTCTAGGCCCTCTAGATCCCAGATGCTGGAGGAGCTTGAAGGTAACGGACCTTTTCTCTCTCCGGGTTCTAGCTGAGGTTCTAGGTCACCCTAAGAGTCACCATCTTCTACCATCAGTTCAGTGATCTTTAGCCAGCCGGTCCCCCAGCCCACCCAGCCACCTCTACGGCCGGTGCCCCGGCCCACGCAGCCCACTCTACGGCCAGTCCCCCACCCACGCAGCCCACTCTACGGCCTGTCCCCCAGCCCACGCAGCCCACTCTACGGCCGGTCCCCCGGCCCACCCAGCCACCTCTACAGCCGGTCCCCCGGCCCACCCAGCCACCTCTACAGCCGGTGCCCCGGCCCACGCAGCCCACTCTACGGCCAGTCCCCCACCCACGCAGCCCACTCTACGGCCTGTCCCCCAGCCCATGCAGCCCACTCTACGGCCGGTCCCCCGGCCCACCCAGCCACCTCTACAGCCGGTGCCCCGGCCCACCCAGCCACCTCTACGGCCGGTCCCCCACCCACGCAGCCACCTCTACGGCCAGTCCCCCACCCATGCAGCCCACTCTACGGCCTGTCCCCCAGCCCACGCGCCCACTCACCCCCCGGCCCACCCAGCCACCTCTACGGCGGTTCCCCCTCATCCAGCCAACTGTAGGCCAGTCCCCAGGCCCACGCAGCCAAAGTACGCTGGTCCCCCGCCCCCACTCAGCCCACTCTACGGCCTGTCCCCTGGCTCACCCAGCCAACTCTACAGCCTGTCCCCCCGCCCCACTCAGCCCACTCTCGGCCGGTCCCCCGGCCCATCCAGCCACCTCTACGGCTGGTCCCCCGGCCCACCCAGCCACCTCTACGGCCGGTCCCCCGCCCACCCCACCTCTACGGCCGGTCCCCCGGCCCACCCAGCCACCTCTACGGCCGGTCCCCCGGCACACCCAGCCACCTCTACGGCCGGTCCCCCCGTCCCACCCAGCCACCTCTACGGCCTGTCCCCCGGCACACCCAGCCACCTCTACGGCCTGTCCCCCGGCACACCCAGCCACCTCTACGGCCGGTCCCCCGGCCCATCCAGCCACCTCTACGGCCGGTCCCCCGGCCCATCCAGCCACCTCTACGGCCGGTCCCCCGGCCCATCCAGCCACCTCTACGGCTGGTCCCCCGGCCCACGCAGCCACCTCTACGGCCGGTCCCCCGTCCCACCCAGCCACCTCTACGGCCGGTCCCCCGTCCCACCCAGCCACCTCTACGGCCAGTCCCCCGGCACACCCAGCCACCTCTACGGCCGGTCCCCTGGCACACCCAGCCACCTCTACGGCCGGTCCCCCGGCACACCCAGCCACCTCTACGGCCGGTCCCCTGGTCCACCCAGCCACCTCTACGGCCTCTCCCCCGGCCCACCCAGCCAACTCTACAGCTAGTCCCCAGGCCACCCAGCCACCTCTACTGCCGGTCCCCCGGCCCACGCAGCCAAATGTACGGCCGGTCCCCTGCCCCACGCAGCCCACTCTACGGCCTGTCCCACGGCCCATCCAGCCACCTCTACGGCCGGTCCCCCGGCCCACGCAGCCCACTCTACGGCCAGTCCACAGGCCTATCCATCCACCTCTACGGCCTCTCCCCCGGCCCACGAAACCCACTCTACGGCCGGTCCCCCGGCCCATCCATCCACCTCTATGGCCGGTCCCCCGGCCCACCCAGCCAACTGTACGGCCGGTCCCCCGGCCCATCCAGCCACCTCTATGGCAGGTCCCCTGGCCCATCCAGCCACCTCTACGGCCAGTCCCCCCGCCCACCGAGCCACCTCTACGATCGGTCCCATGGCCCACCCAGCCCATTGTATGGCCAGTCTGATGACCCACCCAGCCAACCCCACAGCCACTGCAATCAACAAATCCACTGTCTGCCCGGTGCCCACAAGCAACCACCCTCCGAACTGTGGGACAGCTGCCCCCACCCACGCACCCAGCTCTCTGAGCACCCAGCATCGCCACTCTCTGGCCATAGTGATTCTCCCTCCACTCACGCCTCACTCAAGTGACTTACCTGTGGACTCTACATTTCCCCCAGCTGTGCCCACTGCCACCCACTGCAGCTCTGCGCCCCCGTCCCTGGGGGCATCAGGCTCTTTAAGGGTAAGGTGCTAATGAGGCAGGACCCCTGCACAGGCCCTGGGCATGGGCAAATGGGGGGCAGTTTCCTTCCCTTACATCCAGGATTGCCCAGGAATCTGCAAGCCCTGAGATGCTCAGCAACATCAGGCAACTAAATCCACTGCCGAGAACAAGATTGTGGGGGGGACCGGCTGGCTCGTGGGGTGCAGGGAATGGGAAATGAGGCCTTTCCCCTCTAGGCCCCAGGGTGGGGACTGTCTGGCCCTGGGGGGTAGAAATGAGGACCCCCTTTCCTCTCTAGGGGACACTGCTCATCCAGCCCCAGGGTGGGAGGCTGGCTGGCTCAGGGGGGACCAGGAATGGGGCATGGGGCCTTTCCCCTCTAGGGGGCGCTGGCTCTGATCTGGCCCCAGGGCAGGGACTGACTGGCTCTGTGGGGGGTAGGAATGGGACCCCCTTTCCCCTATAGGGGGCGCTGGTTGCAATCCATCCTCAAGTTGGGTCCTCTGGCATAAGCCGACTGTAACCTCCCTGAGCAACATCCCCGGAAGACGCTCACCCACCTCCCCGGCCCCGCAGGCGCTGAGATCCTTACGAAGCGGGTGTCTTGGCCGGCCAAGTGTCAGGCCGCTCCCTCTCTTCTCACCAGCCCTTCTGCGACAGGCCAGCCCAGCTCTGAGTGGCCCCCGGCAAGCACTGGCCCTCCTGAGCCACGGGCTGCTCCATGAACATGGCAGAGCCTTTCCCGTGCCCGACCCCAGAGGTGGCTGCATTCCTCCATAGGGCCAGGCGCGACTTTCGCCGCCCGCTCGCTGTGGACGTGGCCAGCCTTTGGCAGCGCCATCTCGGGAAGTGAAAAGACGATGTTTTGAGGGGGTGGGGGGAATTGCTACTGAAATGACTGAAAAGGAGAAGCCACGCAGACTGAAACGGCCGCCCAGGGCCACAAGGAAAGCCCCAGCCGATGACAGGAGCCAGCATCTTTCAACGCGAACCAACTCAGCCTCCTGCTTACCTCTTACTCTCTTTTCTGTTCATGGCCGAGCTAAGCTGGGGTTAGCTTGGGTGTGTAAACACTCCCCCACCTCGCTCCCACGACATGCAGCTGCTAGATCCCTCGGCTTGGCTTCCCCACGGTCATTTGCGTCCTTGTGCACGAGAGAAAGAAAAGAAAACTCATGAACAAGCTCTCGGCTGTGGGCTCCGGGGCGGGACCTGAATCTGCGGCCAAGCTGAGTCAAAAGGAACTGGTAACGTTTGTGCTGATGGGTGATAAAAAAGGAACTGGCTTATATGTGTGATGTCAGGACAGTGGGCTGTGTGTGTGAGAGACAGAGAGCCAATTTGTGTGTGTCCGCAACAGGGGAAAGAACCCAGGAGTCCTGCCTCTCTTTCCCCCTTTAACCACCCAATCATGCTCCACTTCCAAATCCAGGAAGAGAACCCAGAAGCCCTGACTCACACTCACCTCCTCTAACCACTAGACCCCACTCCCCTCCCCTCCCAGAGCTGGGGAGAGAACCCAGGACCCCTGACTCACAGTCACCGCCTCTAACCACTAGATCCCACTCCCCTCCCCAAGCTGGGAACAGGACCCAGGAGTCCTGACTCTGGGTCACCTGCTCCAACCACTAGACCTCCCTCCCCTCTGAGAGCTGGGAACAGAACCCAGGAGTCCTGACTCCCGGTCACCTGCTCCAACCACTAGACCTCCCTCCCTTCTGAGAGCTGGGAACAGAACCCAGGAGTCCTGACTCCCGGTCACCTGCTCCAACCACTAGACCTCCCTCCCTTCTGAGAGCTGGGAACAGAACCCAGGAGTCCTGACTCCCGGTCACCTGCTCCAACCACTAGACCTCCCTCCCTTCTGAGAGCTGGGAACAGAACCCAGGAGTCCTGACTCCCGGTCACCTGCTCCCCACTAGACCTCCCTCCCTTCTGAGAGCTGGGAACAGAACCCAGGAGTCTGTGTTCTCCAGGAGTCACTGACAATTCCCGGTAGTTTTTAGCAGGCTAGTGGCTTCAGTAAACTTTTCCAAACTGGTGTCCACGGCCGTTGGTTTATCAGTAACATATTGTTTATGTTTAAACATATGGTTTAACATATTTCAGTACCACTGACGCACTGATCTAAAACCAGTCATTGTCAGCTAAGTCTAACTGGGGCTGAGCCTAGGAAAAGCTTATTTTACTTTAGCACTTCGGGTCTAATAAGATAATAATAATAATGATTGGGAAGATGATCAGCTAGTGTCTTTCATCATAAAGGAGCCAAAAGCTCATTATAAACTATTCATAAATATCACTCAAATGCAGCCACTTCTGGGCCTTGGGGAGGGAGCTGTTTATTCAGAGATCCCTCACCCAGGACAGAAGTGCAGCCATCTCGGGAGTGGGGCAGGCAGCTGTTTATACAGGGATCCCTCATCCAGCGGTAAGATGCAGCTGCCTCTGGGGTGAGGCATCATGGCAGTTTAACAGTGCACAACAGCTTAGAGGAGACGATGAACCCCCCCCCCCCGCCCCAGATCTGATTGAGAGTTGAAGAGCAGCTCCTGCCGACCCCCCTCACCCAACTCCCTGCAGCACAGCATTGTCATGGGGTTTGGGGGTCAGCACGGACCCCCTACTGAACCCCCACCCTATTCCCTGTCCTTGGAGGACTCCCGTCTGGGCCCGGGTGAGAGCCAGCCCGGCTTGCAGGACCTCGGGTGCTGCATCTGCAGAAGTGAAAAAAACGGGCCTTTTCTTCAGCTGAGGGAGGGAGGAAGGAAGGGAGGAAGGAAGGAAGGAAGGAAGAGTATATAAAAATGCCATGGTGAGCGAGAGCGACCGTTCCCCTAGGGCACAAGGGCCAGGGAATGGTGCTGGAACCTTAGGCCCTGCGCTAGGGGGTGTCTGAGAGCGATGGATCAATAGATAGATAGATAGATAGATAGATAGAGGGGTTGTCTGGGGATAGATAGATAGCTCGGGTGTATGGGGCTGGATGGATGGAGGGATGGAGGGATAGATAGATCGCTCCGAGGGTCACAGACAGGCAGAGGGTTTCTGGTGTAGTTTTCCTTCAGGGACCCTGGTGGAGAATCAGCTCCCGGTGCAAGGCTGCAGCCAAAAGCACGAACCCCATCCCAAGCTGCATAAACAGGGGAATCTCCCGTCGGAGCAAAGAGGGTATTTCCCCTCTGTGTCTGGCCCTGGCGCGACCGCGGCTGGGACCCTGTGCCCATTTCGGGTGCCCACCAGTCAGGAAGGAGGTGGATCGATGGGAGAGGGGTCAGAGAAGAGCCCCAAGAATGATCAAAGGGTTAGAAAACCTGCCGCACGCTGATAGACTCACTTGGCTCGGGCTATTGAGCTTAGCAAAGGGAGGCTCGGAGTGGCTTGGGCACTGTCGGTAAGTAGCTGCTTGGGGAGCAATTATTTAATAACAGGCTCGTCAGTCCAGCAGTGGAAGGTCAACGCCCACTAGCCACATTCATATAGGTGGCCAGGCCAGGCCAGCTCCTGCCCCACCGGGCTAAGCCCAGACCCTTGAAGATATTGAGGTGCCTATGGGAGTTAGGTGCCTCGCTACCTTAGGATCTAACCGCAGCGTTGGCAGCTCTTGTGAGATCTGGGGCTTTTCCTAAAGCCCCAGCTCCCGGACTCCTGTGATGAGGGGATCTCAGCTGGCTGTCCAGGAAGTATTTTCTGAACCTCCTAGTGGCAAAGGGTCGTTTGAAAACACGAGCCCCCCTCCCCCAGGACTCAGAAGGCTGATAGAAAGGCCCCCGATTGTATTGCTTTAAAACAAATCCCAGGATTGTAAACTGGTGGGGGCTGACTCAGGCTTTGGGAGCAACACTCGGGTCTGGTTTGTCCCCGCCTGGCCCTTTGGCCGCTACAATCCCCAGCGAACCAGGGATGTGGCTCCCAAGCACTTCTAACGCATCTGTCCCAAGGCAGGAGAGAGACCGCCACGCCCCAAACCCCAAACCGAGCAGCTCTGGCTGAGAAAAAGCCACACGCCCCCTGGGTGCCTTCCCCGGGGAGCCAAAAGCCCCCACCCCAGCCGCTAGCATGGCCCAGATCCTCACAGCTACGCCGGTGCCAAATCCCTGTGAGACTGCGCCCAGGCTCCAGCCACAGACACGGCGGAGAAGGGGCCAGTCGGGGCTGGAGCGGGCACCCCTGAATCCCACAGCAATTTAACCCCAGTTCGGGGGATGTACCCAATCCACCCCCCCAATTACCAGTACCATCGTTGGACAGCTGGAGGGGAAGGGGGTGCAGATTGTGGCTTGGAAACCCCCCCCGAGATGGGACAATACAAACAGGGGCCTTGGAGTCTGTTTCCTACAGAGACCCTCAGAGCTGGGGCCGGTAATTGGTTAATTCCAATCCTCTGCTCTTAATTAGCCCTGACGTGAGGGGGGTGGGGTAGGTTGTTCCATAGCAGGACTGTGACTTGTCTAGATTCGGACCCACCCTGGATTCAGCTTTAAGGACTGAAGCACCTCGAAAGGGTTAATTGCAGGCTGCTGGGGGATTGATCTGTCTCTGGGGAGGTGGGGAGAATATTTTGGGGGGCTGCTGCACATTCAAAAGGGGAAAGGTCCACAGACAAATTGACTCGTTAGCACATCAGCCAGTGCCTGGGAAAGGTGGGGCTAACAAACATCATCCCGCACCCCCCCCAACAGGGGAATTTATAAATAGGTCAAAGGGTAGCTCCTTTCCTCTCTTCAGTGGGTTCCCTATGGGCTGCAGGTGGGGGGCCCAGCTGGGCCTAGCAGGGGTTTTCCTGGCTTCTTTGGGAAGGGGGGGGGGGGATGAAAGGTTAGAGGGGGTTGACAGGATAGGATTGGGGGCACCCAAGACTGGAGGGGTCTTGGAGGAGACGAATGGCCAGGATGCGGGGTGGGGACAGGCTGAGATCGAGGGGCAGAGTCAAGGGGATTGTGGCATCTTGCAAAGCTGTAGCTGGCTGAACTCAAGGGGGGTGTGTGTCCCCATTTAATAATGAAACAGGGGGGCTGCATTGGGTGCTGGAACAGAGCCAGCCACCCCCAGGCTAAGTGGTTCCCTCTCCTCCTTGCCCAGTTGCACCGCATCCCTTGGGCCCGTGCTGGGGGCAGCTGGGGCCGCGTGATGTGACGGCCTTGGCCGGGAGCCCGGAGCCATGCCCAGCCCGGAGAGAAAGGAGCTGGCGGAGGCTGTTCTCCGCCACCTGCGGACCGCCGGCATGAGGCTCAAGCACTGGAAACCCACTCTGAGCAACTCGCCCGTAAGTGGGGGAGGAGTGGGCCCCAACAGGCCTCCAGGCAGCTGCGTCTGGGGTGCAGCCCGTCGTCGATGGGGGCATGGCACAGCTGGCCCTGCAGTGCCTCTGTGGGAGCTGGAGACGGCAGGTTAATTAACCGGGGGGGGGGGAGGAGGAGTGTTTATGATCTGACTGTTGGGACTCCTGGTTTCCCCTCCCAGCCTGGGAAGAGGGAGTTGGGCCTAGTGGTTGGAACCAGAGGGGAGGGGGAGCCAGATCTCCTGGGTTCCATTCCCAGCTCTGCTTGGGCAAAAGGGGTGCCCCCTCTGCCTCGGTTTCCCCACCTGCCACGGAAATGGGGGGCCCCCCCTTTTGCGAAGCTCTTTGCCAAGCTGCCGTAGCGTCCCCCATCCCCCTGAACCAGACCGGTTCTGCCTTGGGGCATCCTGGGAGTCTCCCCCCCGGCCCCGTAACCGGGTCACGCTGCCAGCGGTTCCCTTGTTGTGGGTGCCGAGTGCACGAAACAGGATGTGCTCCTTTGCGCTTCAAAGCAGCAGCTCCGGTGACCCTATTTCTCCCCCCTGTAAGCCCTGCCCCACTGCCTAGGCCCACAGGCATAGATCTCCTGCCTCGATAGCGCCCCCAGCCCCCGGGGGAGAGGCCTTTGAGAGCTCTGCCCTGGGGGCTGCACTGGCTTTCCCCGGAGAGGGCAGATATTGGCGGGGGGACCAGGAGCGAGGGGAACCCCTTTTATCTTCAGCCCTGTGTGAGGTTTCGCTGCGGGGTGTTGGGATGAACCGAGCTGCCTGCTGCTGACTCCAGTCAGACCTGCTCCTCTGTGTCTCATACGCCCTCTACTGCCCACAGCTTGGGGGGAGTTTTCTTTAGGACAGGGGGCAATGGGTCAGCTGGCAGGGAGGCCGCCTGCTCTTGGCCACAGCTCTCCCACGCTGGGCGCAGACCCCATCCTCTGCCCTCCAGTCTGATGCCCAGAGGCCGTGGTGATAGGCACCGGGTGGAGGCCCCAAGCTGGACAGCTCAGAGCAGCGGGCCAGTGGCAAGTCCTGTCTCTTCTCTCTCTCTCCTCTCTCAGTGCCAGGAGAAACCTCCCCTGGCGTCGCCCGCCGGCCCGTTCGGGACCCCGCTGCACGCGCTGCCCCTCTCGGAGAACGTGGCGGGAGTACCGCGGTGAGTGGGGGGGGGGGGCGGGAGGGCACGAAAGGAGAGCTTGCCACCAGCCGGGACCGGTGTTGGATACGGATCTTAGGAAACGTGACTCCAGTAACTTCATGGCTGGGCTGGAGGGAATGGGGTGGGGGTGGGAGGAGAGAGAGAACAGAGCCCCCCCGGCCCAGCTCAGGGTCTTGCAGGGACTCAGTGGCCCCACCCCTGTCTTTGGTAGCCCTGCCCCCACCTCATTTGAGGCATCAGGGGACAGCTACCCAGGGTGTGGGTTGGTTGGGGGGTGGGGGGCTTCTTCTCAGACCACCCCCGTCTCGTGAAGGGGTGACACCGCTCCCTGGAGCAGAGCTCTGGTGGGGTCCAGCCCCTGCTGGGGGGGTGTCGGTAGAGAGCCCCCCTGGAGCAGTGGGTTTCAGAGAGGGGTAAATGGGGTGGGGGGAACTGCCCCCAGGGCAATTGTCTCGGGCTCTCTGCACGCTCAAGCCGACGTGGTGTGGGATGCTGTCTAGGAGAGGTTCGGCCACAAGACCCCCAAAGGGTTAAGGGGGGAGGGGCTGATGCGGACTGAGAACCACCCCCCCCCCAGCCCGCAGGGTCTTATTGCTGCCTCCGTAGCGTCCCCCGTGTCTGCCCCCAGGTTCCTGGTGCAGATCTGTGAGGCCCTGCGCCCGCATCTGCACACAGAGGGGCTGTTCCGGAAATCCGGCTCCATGACCCGCATCAAGGCCTTGAAGGTACGTGACCCCCTCCCCGGCTCGGGATCAGGACCTTGGTGCTGTGGGGGCAGCCGCCCCCCCCCCCCGCCCCATTCGTGATAACGAACCTCCTCACCCGCCCTGTCGCAGGCTGCTCTGCACGTACATCTCAGCCAGCAATAAGGCCCCGGCACGTGGCTGATGGTGGTTAGTGATTGAGCACCAGGCAGGGTGAGATCCGGTGCCTGGGGGGGGATGGGGGGGAGGGGAGCCCTCCCCATGAAACCTTCACTCCTGGAGCGCGAGGAGACGCTCTCGGCCAGCAGCAGCAGTGGGCTGTTCAGCTCGGTCTGGGCCAGACGCACGAGGATGTGCTTTCAAAGCACCTTGAACTTGCAGTGGATGGGATTACGTCTCCCCCCCCCCCCCTCGTGCGTCGTCCCCCCCATACAGACATGCGCCCTGCTCTAACCACTAGGCCCCACTCCCCTCCCAGAGCTGGGGATAGAACCCAGGAGTCCTGGCTCCCCACAACCTCAAGTTGACCCCTCCCTTCTTCAATTTCACTTCCAAAGCGCTCTTCACTCCCAGCATCTGCTCTCTGCAGGGTGGGGTCTGTACGGTGGGGAGTGGGGATGTGGCTGTACATTGGGGGTTGGCGGACTCTATTTGGGGCTGGGGGCCAGCAGCGTCCCTGTGCTCTGGGCTTCCTGCTGCTGCAGGCTTATGAAATCCAAGGGATGTTGCCACAGACCCAGGCTGGAGTCTTGGGTAACACCCCTGCTCCAAGCCTATCCCCCTCCTGCAGCCTGGTGGGAGCCTGGGGTCTTTGCTCAGCCCCTCCCCTGGCCTCCATCCCCCCAGGGGGCAGGCAGGAGAGAGCCGAAGGGGAATCCATCCTCATGCTCCAGGGCTGGAGGGGTCAGGCAGAGGGATTTGGTCCATGCCCAGTGAGGCCTGGCTGGCTGATCCATGGGCTCCCTGTGGGCTGCTCAGCGAGGAGGGGTGACAGCCAGCTGGGGGAGCAGGCTGGGCGGGTCCGGGCTCTGCCTCTGAGCAGGGTGGCAGGATCCTTGTTCAGAGCCTTGCACCGGTCAGCCCTGGAACGACGCCGGCTGGGTGGGTGGCGTTCACCCAGCTTGGGGAAACTGAGGCACAGCTTGGGGAAACTGAGGCGTGACTCCCCTGAGGCGTCGGTGGCGGATCTGCTTCCCGCCCCATGCTCCTCGGGGCCCTGTCGTTCCAGGCCCAGCTGGAGGCCGGGGAGAGCTGCCTGGACGCGGCCGCCCCCTGCGACCTGGCCGCGCTGCTCAAGCAATTCCTGCGGCACCTGCCCGAGCCCCTCATCCCGGCCGAGCTGCAGGAGCCCTTGTGCCGCGCCCAGCAGCACCCAGCCGAGGGCGAGCGGGGCCCCCTCACCCTGCTGCTCAGCTGCCTGCTGCCCCGCCACAGCGCCCGCGCCCTCCGCTACTTCTGCACCTTCCTGCAGGACGTGGCAGCCAGGTGGGTGTGCGCCAGTGCCCCTCACTCCCGACCCGCAGCCCCTGCAATCCCGGCCCTGGGCTCCCCCTCCCCAGCTCTGCCGGTGCCCCTCGCTCCCGACCCGCAGCCCCCGCTACCCTGGCCCTGGGCTCCCCCTCCCCAGCTCTGCCGGTGCCCCTCGCTCCCGACCCGCAGCCCCTGCACTCCCGGCCCTGGGCTCCCCCTCCCCAGCTCTGCCGGTGCCCCTCGCTCCCGACCCGCAGCCCCCGCTACCCTGGCCCTGGGCTCCCCCTCCCCAGCTCTGCCGGTGCCCCTCGCTCCCGACCCGCAGCCCCTGCACTCCCGGCCCTGGGCTCCCCCTCCCCAGCTCTGCCGGTGCCCCTCGCTCCCGACCCGCAGCCCCTGCAATCCCGGCCCTGGGCTCACCCTCCCCAGCTCTGCCGGTGCCGCTCGCTCCCGACCCGCAGCCCCTGCAATCCCGGCCCTGGGCTCCCCCTCCCCAGCTCTGCCGGTGCCCCTCGCTCCCGACCCGCAGCCCCTGCAATCCCGGCCCTGGGCTCCCCCTCCCCAGCTCTGCCGGTGCCCCTCACTCCCAGCCCTGGGCCTCTCCAGAGACTGCTATCCCTGTCGGGCTGTGCAGTGATATTCAGATGGGGCTGGGACTGGAGGAACTGGGGACCCGGCTGGGTTTGAACCCCCAGCAGCATAGGCCCGCCTCCTGGTGTCCGGCTCAGCTCCCCTACCCCACCATCCCGCCCGCAGGTGCCAGGAGAACAAGATGGACGAGGCCAACCTGGCCGTGATCTTTGCCCCCAACCTCTTCCCCAGCTGCGTGCTGAGCGATGCGCTGGGTGCCGAGCGTCGGCTACCACTCCAGGCGGGTGCCGTGCAGGCCCTGATCAGCCACGCGCCCCACATCGGTGAGCAGGGCCCCTGCCCAGGGGGGACCGGGACTGTGCATGGCCGACCCTTCCGAGAGTGAGACAGACAGCAAGTCTGTGTCCTATGCCCTGTACTGCTAATGGGGATTCCCCCCAGAGCCTTTGGGGGGCTGTGAAATAGTTTGAATCCCTGCTGACATTTTTCTAGGGCTTTGCATCCAGAAGTATGTTGCAAGCGGTTTACACAGGGGTCAATGCAGCCACCTCTTGGGTGGGGCGCGTGGATGTTTACACAGGGACTCCTCGCCCGGCGCTGGGATGCAGCCACCTCTGGAGCGGGGCACGGGGGCTGCTGACTGGTGGCAGGATACCGCTCCGGGACAGGTCCCAATGTCAGTGCAGGGGGTGTCCGGAGGGGGCAGGAGACAGCAGCCCTGGACATGGGGTCAGGGCCTCCTGGCTGTGTCCTATCCCATAATCCCCAGCTCTGCTGAATGCCCCATGTGCAGTGGGCTGGTCTGCCCCTCCCCCCAGCCCTCCAGTGCATGGCTGCAGTTGTAGTGGGCTCTGCCCCCATGCTATGCTGGCTTCCCCCCACCACCACCTCCGCCCAGCTTTAGGGGCTGGGTAGCAGCAAAAAGGCACCAGACGGATGGGGGTGTCCGGAGGCTGCAAGCAGGTGGCTCTGGGGTGACAGGAAGGAGATTCTTAGTCCCGGGGTGTCTTGGCTCTAAACCCCTCCCCCCATGTCTCCCCTCTAGGCAGAGTCCCCCAGTTCCTCCTGGACAAATTCCCAGCTCCTGCCCCTGAGCTGGACAGTGGCCGCCAGAGCCAGGCGGGGCCCAGGGATGCCAGAGATGGGCTGGCAGAGCGGCACCGGAGGCTTCGCCGGAGGAGCGTTGGTGGTGAGGGTCTGGGTTCCAGCTCGCTGCCAGGCACAGGCAGAGAACCCAGGAGTTCTGGCTCCCAGCCCCCTGTTCTGACCACTAGTCCCCACTCCCCTGCCAGGGCCGGGAAGAGAACCCAGGAGTCCTGACACTCTACTCACAGACAAGCCCCTTACCCTGCCAGTGTGGGGCCCCCCCCAGGGGTGTTCAACCTTCCAAGATGGGGTGTGTCTGCCCCTATCCTAGGAGGGGGGGGGTGCCGGCCCCAGGCGGCAGGGATGTGCTGGGTGGCGGGCGCTGTGGGGTTGTATCCACCCAGTTTCCTGTCTTGCAGAGATTGTGAACGGGGCCCTGACCAAACTCCGAGTGGGGCGTGGTGCCGGGGGGCCTCTGGCCCAGGAGCCAAGAGTGGGTGAGTGCAGGGCTGCTGGGTGGGGGCATGGGGATGGGGGCTGGCTCAAGGGGGGGCAGCTGGGTACTGTGGGGCTAGGACAAGTACAAGGCCACTCTCAGTCCCTGTGTTTCAGTGACCCCCAGCTCCTCCCCCCCCCCCATATCGGGTGTCCCCAGATCCTCATTTGAGCAGTTGTGGAGAGGGCTCTGGGCATCCTAAAGTGCTTTACGCGGCATGCGTAGAGACCCTTTGCCTGGCACTGGGATGAGGCCAACTCTGGGGTGGGGCGTGGGGCTGTTTATACAGGGATCCCTTGCCCAGCATGGAGATGCAGCCACCTCTGGGGTGGGGCACGGGGGCGCTTCGTACAGGGACCCCTCGCCCGGTGCTGAGATGCAGCCACCTCTGGGGTGGGGCATGGGGGGCTGGTTCACAGCCATGCAGCAGTTTAGGACTGGAAGCGAAGAGCAGTCCTGGGCCTGAGGGGGTAGCTACGAAAGGCCACCCTGCGTTCACACCTTGTCTGAGTAATGGCACCTCCTGCAACACCGGCCCCCTGGGGCAATGGAGCCAGCCCTGACTGCCAGGGGAGAGCGCCCCCTGCAGCCCCCCACAGGGTTTCTTCCATGTAGCGACGGGGTGCATGAGTTGTGGGGGGGTACCCTGCTGGGTCGGGGAGAGGCCGTGGCAAACCTGGGGAACCTCCCCAAGCCCGTGTGGACCCCAGCCCCCCCTCTCCTCTCCCTAGACTCCCCGAATGTCTCCAGCCTGGTGCCCCGGACCCTCCCCTTCGGCGCCAAGCGCAAGGCCTTGGAGGAGCTGGCCCAGGAGGCCCAGCTGGGCACCAAGAAGCGGTAGGCAGCTCCGTGCCGTTCCCCTGGGGGGGCACCGGGGAGCTCAGAGCAGGGGGCGGGCACTGGGGAGCATGGTGTGGGTGGAGCAGGGGGATGCCAGACTGCGGGGAGGACCCAAGCATTCAAGGGCACCCAGTTTCCCGGGCACATCCTACAATGCATGCTGGGAACTCTGGGCAGGCGAGCCGGTTCCGGTCCCGCTAACGCTGCCTGCATGCCCCTTGCAGGAGACCCGCCGTGGGGCCGGCTGGCTCGGATCTGTCCACGGACGAGGCCGGGGACCCCTTCGATCAGCCCCCAGATGATGGTACGGCCAGGGGGGCTGACTGCCCGCGGGGTGCTCTGCCCTCATGGCAGTGAAGGGTGTTAGGGTCTAGATAGTCAGGCCTGTCTGTAAAGCCTAGACTTGGAGAATTTAGGTATTTTTATCACTTTGCTCGTTACAGGGGGTTAAAACAAAGAATCAAAATCAGTCTGCCAGTGTCTGGGCTGCTCTCGCTGTGACAGTCCAAGGCCTGGCTCTTCGGCCAAGGCCTTTGGCCAAGCGGTCGGGGCAGCCATCAGCCGGGAAGTCCTCACCTCCCAAACCAGTCACACGGAAGTAAGGTGGTGTTGGGACAGGACCGTCTCCCGAACAGCCCGATAGCGCCCGTCACCACCCGACAAAGAAACAGATCTTCAGATGGTTAAAGAGAACTTGGTTTGATAATATCTGGCCTGGCAAGAAATCCCTTCTCAATGGTTGTGGGTGTGAAACCCTCATGACATGCATCCGACGAAGTGGGTGTTCACCCGCGAAAGCTCATGCTCCAACACGTCTGTTAGTCTGTCAGGTGCCACGGGACTCTCTGCCCCTCACTTCTGTGTGTTTTACCTTTATGGCCCCCACTTTTCTATGGTCAATCTGTCTGGTTCTCTAATTGTTTCGGTCTGCTGCATAATTAATTTTGCTCGGTGTCCGTTAATTAGGGGAGTGCGATATAATGGGTTCGAGAATTATATTACACTGTTAGGACTGGTTAGCTGGATTTCAGTAAAATGATTGGTTAAGGTATAGCTGAGATGATTACTGTGTAAATTAGGGGCAACCAGGAAGAAAGTTAAAAGAACGAGGAGTCCTTGTGGCAGCTTAGAGCCGAACAAAGTTACCTGAGCATAAGCTTTCGTCAGCTAAAGCCCACTTCATCGGATGCATGCAGTGGAAAATACAGTGGGAAGATACACACAGAGAACATGAAACTATGGGGGTTGCCAAACCAACTCTAACGAGACTAGTCAATTAAGGTGGGCAATTATCAGCAGAAGGAGAAAAAAAAACTTTTGTAGAGATAATTAGGAAGTAAGTTAGAATTCGAAAATAAGGAATTTGGATTTAAGCTTGCTGGCAGTTCACCCCAATAAACATCGAATTGTTTGCACCTTTGGACTTGGGTTATTGTTGCTCTCTGTTCACACGAGAAGGACCAGGAAAGTGGGAGGGTGAAAGAATAAGCCCTCTAACAAGGGGCCCCAGCCAGGATTGGGGCCCCCGTCGCTGCACGGCCACAGTCTCTGCCCCAGAGAGCTCAGACTCCGGTAGGATTTCAAACCCCATGTTAGAGGGGGAAGGGAGGTGCAGGGGGTGGGTGTGGGGGGGGAAGTGTCCTCCTCAAGCCATGCCACGAGTCTGTGGCAGGGCTTGGGATAGAACCCGGGAGTCCTGGCTCCCAGCCCCCCCTGCTCTAACCACTAGACCCCACTCCCCTCCCAGTGCCAGGAGAGAACCCAGGAGTCCTGGCTGCCAGCCCGTGCGCCCCCTCCCCCCGCTGTAACCATACCCCTCTCACCTATCTCTCCCCCACATAATAGACAAGCATCTATTCTCCCCCTCAAAATACCAGACCCCCCCGCCCTGCTCCTTGGTTGACCCCTCTGCCTCCCCTCCCCACCAGCTCCAGCCAGCCCCCATGAGGTCTTCGCCAACAGCCCCCCAGAGTTGCCCCCTGCTGCGGAGACTCTGCCCCCCAGCGCCGGCCTGCACCGAAGGAAGAGCAGCTGCAAGAGGCGTCCTCGGAGGTAAGGTGGGGGGCGGGGGGGTTGCCCCACTGGTAACTGCACTGGGGTGCCTGCTCCTGGCCCACAGCTGGGGCAATGGCTGGAAATGCTGGTTTCTGAGCTGGGGGGCTTCTGGGGAGCTAGGCGCTGTGCAGACACCCCCCAGAGCGAGATCAGGGGCCTCCGTGGGGCCAGGTGTGTGCAGACCCCCTGCCACTGAGATTGAGGCTGCTCATTGTGCCTGGCACTGCAGACACCCCGACCCCCACAACAGCTGGGGAAACTGAGGCCCAGGAGATGCTGGGACTTGCCCAAGGTGCCTCCAGGGAGGTGGTGGCAGAGTCAGGAATTGAAGCCCGATCCTCTGGGTCCCAGCCCGATGCCTGACCCCCGACCGCCCCCTGGCCATCAGTGTAATAGCTCCCAACTCGACACCCCCCTCCCGTGTGTGTGTGTGTTTTGCATCGGCTCATCCCTGTTCTGTGCAACGGGCAGCATTTGAAGCCCGGTGGAAGTCTCTGGCAGTGCCTGGCTCTGGGGGCTCCCCTAGTGCCCGCTTGGTGCCCAGCCCGCCCCATCCTGGGCAGCTGTCCCGATGCCCTGCTTCTTCCCATCCAGGAAGCTCTCCGGCCGATCCGCCTGTGGCTCCCCAGCTCCCTTCGAGCGGCAGGATGCGGGGCGCAAATCCTTGCGCATCTTCGCCCACAGCGGGAAGGAGCAGGTGAGTAACTCCAGACATGCGGGCCCCCTCTTTGGCCTAGAGGTGAATCCCTGTTAGCAGTATAGGGCTTAAGATGCGTGACGCTGCAGCGCAGGGTCCATCCAGCAGGGGGCAGCAGTTCCACACACCTAGGCCAGCTCATTGCAAGTTCATTTGTAATCCCATAGCTTGGGTTGCGGAAAAGAACTCCGGCAGCTTGGGGGGCGGGGGGCCGTTTAAAGGGGTGTGGGGCAGCACCCAGATGTCCGAGCGCTTGTTTAAAGGGGCCGGCCTCCTTGTGCCATGTGCCTGCTTGCTCCCGGGGGACGGACCTCGGAGCCCTCCCCTGGCACCCGGCCACTGGCCCCTCCAGGTGCTTTCTAGCTGCGGCTCTGGCCCCGGGGCCTGTCCCAGGTAGCAAAGCCCCAGCCCTTCTCCCTTTCTCCCCTCTGCAGCCTCCCCCGGGCCCCGCCAAGCGGGACGCCAAGGCCCCCGAGCCCAGCAGCTGGCATCTGATGAAGCGGATGGTGGCAGACGCCCTGGAGGGGCACCGAGCCCCGCAGAGCTGGGTCCCGCTGCCCTTGTCCAGTCCCACAGAGCTGGATGATGGTACAGCTTATGCCCTGGGGGTGGCGTAATGCAAAGGCCCCCATCTTCTAGGGGTGTGGGCAGGGCCAGATAAAGGGAGTGAGGTTTGGATCAGAGATGGGCATGGCACGACCTGTTCACCTCCCCTGCGGGGCCCCCATCAGCATCCTTGGCTGGCACCCGTCCGGCCTGCTCCGCCATTGACCTGGCTCCCCCTTCCCAGCCTGCGGTGCTGAAGGGCGGGTGGGTTGAACCCCATAACCCCAGACACCGCCTCCGCCCCTCCCCCCCGCAGCAGCCATGCTGCGTCTCGGCCCAATGGTGAAATAGCTTCTTCCCAGCCCAGTTGTCAAGTGTTGTAATCGGCTGGTTTCAACAGAGCCGGGCGGGGCGTGCCAGGGGCGGGCGGGGGTTTAGTGGCTTGGATCTACAGGCTCATCTTCACCCTTCCCGGGGCCAGAGAGCCTCGGCGCGCTGGGGGTCTGTTCGCATGATACCGACGCAGCCGGCAAGTCGAAGATCCCAACCGCTTAAAGAGGTCAGCGTATAAGCTGCTGTGCCCCACCCCAGAGGTGGCTGCATCTTAGTGCTAGGTGAGGGGCCCCTGTATAAACGGTCCCACCACCCCACCCCAGAGACAGCTGCATCTCAGCGCTGGGTGAGGGCTCTCTGTATAACCAGCCCCCGCACCCCACCCCACCCCAGAGGTGGCTGCATCTCAGTACCGGGTGAGGGATCCCTGCACAAAGAATCCCAGTGCCCTGCCCCAGAGCGAGGGAACCCTGTACGAACAGCTGCCACGCTGCACCCCGAGGTGGCTGCATCTCAGTGCTGCGTCTGATTTTGCCAGGCACCGAGCGGCCCCCCACGATGCGGCTGGGCGCCGGGCCCCAAGTTGGCTGGGGCAGTGACGGGGCCATGTCTGCGTTCCAGGGACACCTGCTGTCGAAGGCCCCGCTGCCGGGCAGAGCAAGCGAGACCCCGGGCCCTGCGCGGGATCCGCAGATGCCAGCAAGAAGCCGTGCGCCACGGAGCTGGACCTGGAGGCCTGGTTCAGAAGCCGCACTGGGGCCCCCCGCAGACAGCAGCGGGCCCTGCGCAGGTCCCTGAGCTGGCCTGAGGGCCTGTCGGGGGCAGAGGGCAGCGTCAACGACCTCCCAGGAGCAGCCAGGTCAGGAAGCTCCCCGTCCCGCCCTGGAGGAGGTGAGAGGGAGCCGCTGGATGGCACCCCAGGGAGCCGACCTGGTCCGGAGCCGCTGGGCACCCCCATGCTGTGCGTCACGCTGGCCCCCGGCAGTGCTGTGCCCGGCTGCCTGGGGGCCGGAGAGGGTGGCCCGGAGCCAGAGGGGGAGCGGCCGGCTCCTGGCTCTCTTTCCCAGCGTCTTCCCGGCCCCGACGGTGCCCCCAAGCGCCATGTGAAGCGACTGACCCTGGCCTTCCCGCGCTCCTCCACCCAGCCCGCCGGAGCCGGCACCCCCAAACGGGCAGCCCGGGGCCGGCGCTTCGGGCGCTCGCTCAGCCACGAGAGTGCCCTGCCCCTGCCCGCCGGGGCCAAGGCCTTGGGGCGGGGCGACCCCGGCCTGCAGCCCCCCAAGAGTCCACTGAGCTACTTCCGGGCCTGTGGGCGGCAGATCTTCGTCAGCCACAAGCGCCTCACCCTGGCCTTCGTGGGACTGCGGGGCCGGAGGGAGCCGGGCACTGCCGTGCCCAATGCCAGCCCCCGGGACGTGGCACCCAACCCCCACCTGCCCCTCCTGTGACCCCCAGCTCCAGCAGCTGCTGGGGGCCAATTGGCGTCACTCCCCAAAATCCCCACTGCCGGGTACTAAACTCACCGCCAGCCAGGACTCCCTGGATCTGTGAAGGGGCGGGGGGTCCATGGTGCCCCCCCCCTTGATGTGCTGCATTCCCCTGCCTTCTGGGGGGCAAACTGGGCCTCGAAGTTTGGAATCCCCTAGGCTGCGGCTGAGCCCTCCCCTTGCCCTCTGGACCTCTGTGTGACCCAAACCGGCTGGGGCACCCCGGCTGCCTTGCCCTAGTAGCCACGTCCTCTCCGGGTCCCGGCGGGCATGCTGTGTGAGAACTATGAATTCTTTGTGCATTTCAGCCCCCGGCCGGCCATTCCCGAGCCGCTCTGTGCCCTCACCCGCTGGCCTCTGGGAAGCTGGCTCGTCCTGGGCTCAAATTCCGAGGCCGATTTCTCCGCTGGGGTTTTTTACCCTGTTATCGCCTGGTACCAGCTCCTCGCGCCTGGGTTTCTGCTGCCAGCTCTTTCGTGCCTTGGGCTGCGGTTTCTGCGTTTCGCTGTGGGGTGGAGGGGGCGGGGGGGGGGGGTGAGAGAGCACTGCTTGCTTCTGGAGACGGGCCGTGATGTGTGTATGAAGTGTAGGGACTGGTGTCTTTCCCTGAGCCGGGGGCGTGCGGGGTCTCCCCTCGGAGTTGCACTCAATCCTTCTGAAAGCAAGAAGGCCCACGGGGTCGAAGTTTCTTTCCTTTCAAATGTTTAAATTTCTTCCAGAATAAAAAGGTTTTTTTAAAACTTTTTTTTTTTCTTCTTTTTGCACCCAAAGAAGCGGCGAACGGTCGGCCAATACTGTGGAGTCCCGGGGTGTTTGCTGCTGGGTTTCCTGCACAGGGTAGGATCTCTGCTGCTGGACTGAGGGGGCCAGGGGATGGCTGTGCTTGGTGTGCGTGGGGAGAATGGTTTGATTTTTGTAACCGAGGAGAGGCTGTGGGATGTGGACGGACGGACCTGCCTCACTGGCAGTGAGATAACACCTGACATTTCAACCAAACCCGCTGGCCTCCTTAACGTACCATAGGCTGGGCTCCCCAGCTCTCAGAGCACCTGACGGGGGGGACGAATTAACCCCCCCCCCCTTGGGTATAGATGAGGAAACTGAGGCAAAGCGACTTCCCCGAACTCCCAGTTCCCCTTCTGGGGCTGGAACCCAGGAGCTTAGAGCAGGGGGCCAGGCACCAGGACTCCGGGGTTCCAGTCCCAGCTCCGGAAGGGGAACTGGGAGTTAGGGGACATCCCCAGCTCTGGGAGGGATGGGGGGTGAGCTGGGAATAGATTCCAGGAGTCCTGGCTCCCTGCCCACCCCCATTAGACCCAACCCCCCCCAAAGCTGGAGGAAAACACAGAAGTCTTTGGTCTCTTGCCCCTTGAATGTGGGGGGAGATGCAGGGCAGAGCTGGGGCCCCACATCTCATCCAGTCCCAGGGCTGGCTCTGGCCCCAGGGACAGGCCGGTGGGGGGCATCCTGGGCTGCATGGCTGGGGCTGGAGCCTGGTGGCTCTGGGGTCTGGTTGTGCACTGAGATCTCTGCAGCAGAAGGACACCTGGGGGTGTTATCCAGCTCCCCTTGCTCCTAGTGTGCTGGGGCTGACTCTGTCCCCCACGCCCTCCCCTGAGGGGAGATGGGGCGTCTCTCCCTGCCCGATGGCCAGGGCAGCTTTGCAGCAAGCCACTAAAAAACCCCATGAACTGGGTCACACTAAGGGGCTGATGGGGGGCACCATAAATCCAGCTTTTCAATACCCCACCTTCCTGCCCCGGCGCTGGCAGAGAAATAGGACGATGGGGAGGCCTCGATCCCAGCTGGGTGTGGGCATTTCTGAGCAGCACCTGGCATAATGGGGTCCCTGACCCTGGTGAGGGGGGGTGGCTCTGGGTCTTCCTGCCTGGCACCTGGACGGGCAGCCCAGAGCTGGGGGCCAGGCCAGATTTATTTGATTTCAGCAGCTGATCTGCAGAGTCACCCGGATCTTCCCAATTAGCGCCCGGAGCCCCATGACTGTCCTTGGCTCCCTTTTCCTAGGCTGCTAATTAATGACACAGGCTGATTAATTTCCACCCCAGCGCCCTCTAGCGGCCTCCCCAAAGAGCAACCTGCCCTGCAAAGCGACATGAATCGACGGGCAGGAACCAGGGCCCGGCTCTGGATTCAGGCCAGAGTCTTCATAGCTGCGATGGGCACCGGGTGCTCAGCCGTGGTCCCGGCAGCCCCGCAGGAACCGGTCTAACGTTGTGTGGTGTGATCTTTTCCCCCTGCGACTTTTCTCTGATGTTGCAGTGTTAAGACAATATTGTTGTATTATTTCTGGCTCCCTCTCGGTATTACGGGAGCCCCGGGGCGCCAGGCGCTGTACAAACACAGAACAAAACCACCCTCCCCTTTCCCCGAGCCCTTCCAGGCACAGTCTCTGCCAAGGGCCAACAGCTGGGTGCAGCCAGCTGGGAACCTGGGGCAATGATGAATTTCAGGTCTGCCTCATCAGCATGTGGCAAAAAGCAAACAGGCCTTGGGGGCTGACCAGCGGTGGGCTCTGGGCTCCAACCCCAGCCCCCTCACAGATGCCCGTCTCTGCTGCATTAGTGGGATGTGCCTCAGTTTCCCCATCTACACAAGGGGGATCATAGAACGGCATCCGCGGGAGACTGATTTTTAACAGAGAGTTTCTCTCTTTACCCCTGCTCCTATGGCCGCAGCTGGACAGGGCTAAAGGGCCGTGTGTTTTATTTCCCCTTCCCAGGTGGGGAGAAGCCCTTATCATGGCTCCCCAGGTCCGGTGTGCTGGGACAGCCCCTGGGAGGACCCTTTCAGTCTGCCAGCCCCCCTTTGGGGCACTGGGGTCAGCCCCTCGGTTTCAGCACCTCCTGGGACTGAAGCGAGGACCCTCCAGCCCCCCGTGTCAGGCCGTGAGCTCCCCTCAGGGCCGGGCGCTGGAGCCCCCCTGGGCCAGCGGTGTGAAAATGGGTGGGCTGCTTGGCTAGCTGGGCCGCAGCGCAGAGAGCCCTGAGCGTGGCCCAGGGAAGGGGATGTGGCAGCTACTCGAGTGGGGGCTGAGCCGTGCTGGCCGCTGTCTCTCTGCCCCCTGCCCAGCTGTGCCCCCGCTTCCAGACACGTAACCCCCCCCCATCCCTCTCCTCAGTCCTTTGTTCCTCTTCCCGGCCAGAAATGGTCACCTGGACCCTAGCTCTTTGTTCTCCCAGAGGGTGGCCTCTGGCAGAGGGGGTTGGTGGTCCTAGCTGGGCGAGGGGCCCCAGCAGCCAGCCGTCCATCGCACCTGGTCCTCTGGGTCCCAGCAGAGATTAACCCATCTTTTCCCCTCACCTACTTAAACATTCAGTATATTGGGGAAACTGAGGCACACACACGAAGGGCCCGGTGGGATCTGGGCAGCAGGGCGACACCTGCGACTGGTGCGAGGGAGCTGCTGGCCAGGTGAGGCACCTGCCTTAGATCCTAAACCAGTGGGGGAGCTGAGAATAGAACCCAGGACTCCTGGCTCCCAGACCCCCACCCTCGCTTACCCCCATTCCCTGAGCAAGGGAGAGAACCCAGGAGTCCTGGCTCCCAGCCCTGCCCTGGGCTCTAAGAGGGAATTTCCTGGAGTCCCACTAGACTAGGGCAGCCTCGTCGGGGGGGGGGGGAAGAGCCACACACAGCTCCCCCCCCCCCACCCCGCACTGGGGGCCAGGGGCCCCTTCCCTCCCAATGCACACCCGCTCTCTGGGCACCTGCCCCCTTGCTTGTGCTCGTCCCCCCCCCCTCCTCCATTCATCCCTTCTCTCAGCCTTGCGCCCCCCCCCCCGGCTCCCCCCTCCAATCGGCGGCGGCTAGGGGCGGATCCAGGGCCGCTCCCCCGCCTGCTGCGGGCAGCCCGGCCCGGCCCGGCCCCTCCCTGCCCGGCTCTCCCCGCTGAGCGGCCGGCCCGAGCCCCGCAGCCCCCCGCAGCCATGGCCGAGGGCGGGGAAGGGGAGGATGATGTGCAGTTCCTGCGGACCGGGTGAGTGGGGCAGCAGGGGGGAAGGGCAGCAGGGGGGAAGGGGAGAGTGGGGGGAGCAGGGGGAAGGGGAGCAGTGGGGAAGGGGTGAGTGGGGGGAGCAGGGGGGAAGGGGAGCAGTGGGGAAGGGGTGAGTGGAGGGAACAGGAGGGAAGGGGAGCAGTGGGGAAGCAGGAGGGAAGGGGAGCAGTGGGGAAGGGGTGAGTGGGGGGAGCAGGGGGAAGGGGAGCAGTGGGGAAGGGGTGAGTGGGGGGAGCAGGAGGGAAGGGCAGCAGGGGGGAAAGGGGTGAGTGGAGGGAGCAGGAGGGAAGGGGAGCAGTGGGGAAGGGGTGAGTGGGGGGAGCAGGAGGGAAGGGCAGCAGTGGGGAAGGGGTGAGTGGAGGGAACAGGAGGGAAGGGGAGCAGTGGGGAAGCAGGAGGGAAGGGGAGCAGTGGGGAAGGGGTGAGTGGGGGGAGCAGGAGGGAAGGGGAGAGGTGGGGAAGGGGTGAGTGGGGGGAGCAGGGGGGAAGGGGAGCAGTGGGGAAGGGGAGAGTGGGGGGAGCAGGGGGGAAGGAGAGCAGTGGGGAAGGGGTGAGGGGGAGCAGAGGTGTGGGAACTAGGAGTGGGGAGGGGGGCTGCAGCACCCCCACCCCCCGGCTTAACGTGGTTTCTATCACACCCAGGGTTCGCAGTCTGGTTTAATGGGTCTCAGCGCCCCCCACTATACAAACTGTCCCAGTGCCCCTGGGGAGCCGTGGGAAAGGGGCAAAGGGGGTCAGGGCCCAATGGAGGGGAAGGCCAGGAGAATGGCCAGGGGAGGTGGGGGCTGAGCGAGCCCGGCATGTCCTTGGGGTCCCTCTCTGCCTAGCGGGGTAGGGGGGTGCATGCTGACACCCTGGCCATGTGGCGGGTAGAAGAGACAGGGTAGCGGGGTGGGAGTCTATGGGGCTGAGGGGAAGGAGCCTGGGGGGGCAGAGGGGACAGACAGGGAAGTTGCCTTGAGCTCTGTGATAACCCCTGTCTCTAACCAGCCCCCTCCTCCCCACCATGGTGACATGGGATAATTAGCTGACTTTAGCGAGGGGGTGGGGGGGAGGGCGTAAATACCATGGGAATGCAGAGAAAGCAGCCCCCCGGGGGGACAGCGTTTGGCTCAGCCCCTCCCCTCTGTTCTCGCTGCCCCGTCCTGCCCCCCCACCCCAGGTCCTCTCGGCAGGGCCTGCTGAGCCTAGGAGCAAGTGGCTGCCAACAGGTGTCGTGGGGGGGGCAGCTGGTTTCCACCCATCCCCCTGTTTGGCTCCCACCCAGGGGCCTTCCAGACCCGAGCTGTGTTCCTGGGAGAGCTACGGGGTGTCTTGCGCCTGGCTGTGCAGCGCCTGACACAATGGGTCCAATCTCTGTCCAGGCCTCTGGGCACTACTGTAAAACACCTAATAATAGCCCTGCCCAATCCCTTGAGCCCCTCTGGGTGGATACTTTAGGCACCTGGAGTCACTTCTGTCTGTGTTGTGCTATTTGGTTTGTGCCAGGACGGAGGGGTGTGCAAAGCAGGGCCCGTGTGCGAGGAAGGAGGGGGTGTGCAAGCTGGAGTGCACGTGCCAGGAAGGAGGGGTGCGCGAAGCAGGGCACGTGTGCGAGGAAAGAGGGTGCACGAAGTGGGGTGTGTGTGCAAGGAAGGAGGGTTGTGCAAAGTGGGGCACGTGTGCGAGGACCCTCAGCCGCCAAGGTCTCAGATTTCTGAGCTTT